TCACTGACGTCTTTGATTTCACGACGCCATAGTTGCTCTTGTGTATAACGTAAACATTGTAAGATTCTTGAGGCATCTTAAGACTGACAATGGGGGCATCAATCATCTTATAAACTTTTTTTTTTTTAGAAAATATTGTTTTCACTAAATTATGGTTTCTTTCTTTGATTATATTTTACAAGCACATCATCTCTCATACCCAAAACGTTACCAGCACACAATACTGAGCAACAGCGACGGTACACAAATAATCTTTACACCAAATACGCTTACTAACAAACAAATCTCTATACCACCATTACCATCTCTCATAGCCAAAAAACGTAAAAATACAAACCACATAGAAACAGCCATCACAAATAACCCCTACCCCAAATAAGCTCCCTAAAAAAAAAAAAAAGCTTTACCAATGACCGACACACTGCCTAGGGCCTCATGTATAGATCAACTTAAGAAATTAACAAAAATAAATGCATGTTTTGTTTCTTTATAACTTAATTTTTTACAAATCTCCTTGAATCTATAATATTAAGTTTTGTAAACAATGAAATTAACCAGAAAAATAGCGATATTGCTCGAGAGTGTGATTTTTTAAATAACACTATATGACATCATCAAAAGTACTTTACACAAGAGAAGCCTTTACTTTTTAAAAAAAAAATATATATATATTATTATTATAGCTCCATTCCAGCATCATACAAGTAGAAATGATTCATAATAAAATAAATGACAATATTACTCACAGGTTGCAACAAGAACTATAAAATTCATTTTGAAACGTCTGCTAGAAATCGGCTTCTTTTAAATTAACGTGGTTTTTTTTCCCTTCAAGTCTCAGCTGCTCTTGCCCCCGTGTTTGACCAAAAGATTAAACAAATGGCTCCGGGGCCAACATATGTGTCGCCATGTTGTTCCTGCAGCCTGTCACTCACCAACGAGTCCCGCCTTCCTTTCAAGGAACACACATTGGGGGATAGTAAGTATTGATAAATGATTGTTTTGTTTGCTTTGAACTACCGGCTCTAGTATCTGTCAGGATAGTGTTATTGTAGCGCCACGAAGTAATATGTACTCAAAGTTCTGAAGAAACAAATGTTTATTTTCTATTGACTGACATTGCCTACACGCAATAGGCCTCATTATACAAAAAAGTGGGGGGGGGGGGAAGGTTTCAATTTCCCATTTTGGACTGATTTTATTCAAGGCCAAACGAAAGGGAGAAAAGCGTATAACATTGTGAACTTGACAGAAGCTGTCCTAGAAATTTCTTGAAGGTGTCCGTTACATTTGTATTTCGGAACAACTCCAAAGTCAGTTTTAATGCGTCCAGTAGTTTCTTATACGATTTCAGCGGAACCGACAACTTGGTTCTCGACTCCTATTACCGACTGAGGTATGCTTTCAGCCTTATAGACAACCAGATCACGTTTATTAGAGTAAAGACGGTCGATGCCCAAAATGAGAGATGGAAGGATGGAAGGAACTGGACAAATGACCAACGACCCTAGAGAAAACATCACAGTCGTCAGTCGTCAACGAGAGAATTGTTGGAAACTTGACACCAATAAATATCATAGGCTTGAAAGACGTCATCCCTGGAATAGTCCTACATGATTATCAACGCTACCTGGATGTGTATTCCCAATCGAACGATTTCTCCTCCAACATTGTTGACAACTCCAGTCTACGGTGTCACTGGAGAAAGAAGATTTTTGTGATCTGAAATTGATTAAATCCTATTTACGAGTGTTGTCCTTGGGAAAGACTCACATCTTTGGCTATGATGTCTATCACATCTTTGGCTATGATGTCTATCACATCTTTGGCTATGATGTCTATCACATCTTTGGCTATGATGTCTATCACATCTTTGGCTATGATGTCTATCACATCTTTGGCTATGATGTCTATCACATCTTTGGCTTTGATGTCTGTCACGTCTTTGGCTATGATGTCTATCACATCTTTGGCTGTGGTGTCTATCACATCTTTGCCTGTGATGTCTATCACATCTTTGGCTGTGATGTCTTATCACATCCTTGCATATGATGTCTATCACATCTTCGCGTATGATGGCTATCACATCTTTGCCTGTGATGTCTATCACATCTTTGGTTATGATGTCTATCACATCTTTGCCTATGATGTCTATCACATCTTTGGTTATGATGTCTAGCACGTCTTTTGGCTATGATGTCTATCACATCTTTTGCTATGTCTATCACATCTTTGGCTGTGCTGTCTATCACATTTTTTGCTATGATGTCTATCACATCTTTGCCTATGATGTCTATCACATCTTCGGCTATGATGTCTATCACATCCTTGGCTATGATGTCTATTAAAAATGATGTTACTAGTCTGCTTTTAGAATAGTTTAATTGTTCTGGCGGAAAATTCTTTGTTTGTTTTGTGTTTAAATTCCAACCATTAATAAGACGTTTATAAGACGTTAATAAGACGTTTATAAGACGTTTATAAGACGTTTATAAGACGTTAATAAGACGTTTATAAGACGTTAATAAGACGTTTTATAAGACATTAATAAGACGTTTATAAGACGTTAATAAGACGTTTATAAGACGTTAATAAGACGTTTATAAGACGTTAATAAGACGTTTATAAGACGTTAATAAGACGTTTATAAGACGTTAATAAGACGTTTATAAGACGTTAATAAGACGTTTTATAAGACGTTAATAAGACGTTTATAAGACGTTAATAAGACGTTTATAAGACGTTAATAAGACGTTTTATAAGACGTTTATAAGACGTTAATAAGACGTTTATAAGACGTTAATAAGACGTTTATAAGACATTAATAAGACGTTTATAAGACGTTAATAAGACGTTTTATAAGACATTAATAAGACGTTTATAAGACGTTAATAAGACGTTTTATAAGACATTAATAAGACGTTTTATAAGACATTAATAAGACGTTTATAAGACATTAATAAGACGTTTTATAAGACATTAATAAGACGTTTTATAAGACATTAATAAGACGTTTATAAGACGTTAATAAGACGTTTTATAAGACATTAATAAGACGTTTTATAAGACATTAATAAGACGTTTATAAGACATTAATAAGACGTTTTATAAGACGTTAATAAGACGTTTTATAAGACATTAATAAGACGTTTATAAGACATTAATAAGACGTTTTATAAGACATTAATAAGACGTTTATAAGACATTAATAAGACGTTTTATAAGACGTTAATAAGACGTTTATAAGACATTAATAAGACGTTTTATAAGACGTTAATAAGACGTTTTATAAGACGTTAATAAGACGTTTTATAAGACGTTAATAAGACGTTTTATAAGACGTTAATAAGACGTTTTATAAGACGTTAATAAGACGTTTATAAGACGTTAATAAGACGTTTATAAGACGTTAATAAGACGTTTTATAAGACGTTAATAAGACGTTTTATAAGACATTAATAAGACGTTTTATAAGACGTTAATAAGACGTTTTATAAGACGTTAATAGGACGTTTATAAGACGTTAATAAGACGTTTTATAAGACATTAATAAGACGTTTTATAAGACGTTAATAAGACGTTTTATAAGACGTTAATAAGACGTTTTATAAGACGTTAATAAGACGTTTATAAGACGTTAATAAGACGTTTTATAAGACATTAATAAGACGTTTATAAGACGTTAATAAGACGTTTATAAGACGTTAATAAGACGTTTATAAGACGTTAATAAGACGTTTTATAAGACTTTAATAAAACGTTTTATAAGACGTTAATAAGACGTTTTATAAGACGTTAATAAGACGTTTATAAGACGTTAATAAGACGTTTTATGAGACATTAATAAGACGTTTTATAAGACGTTAATAAGACGTTTTATAAGACGTTAATAAGACGTTTATAAGACGTTAATAAGACGTTTATAAGACGTTAATAAGACGTTTATAAGACATTGTCTTTTCTTTTCTGCAGCGGCTCCTTTTTTAAATTATTAACGTTGAAATCAACATCAATGTTTGTAGGAGGAAAGGGCGCCAAAATGTAAAACCGCCGGGGCGCCACAATTGCTAAGGCCGTGACCTGATGGGCGCTGTACTAGACGCTTTATTTCGTGCTCTACTGTAACAGGGTGTCATCTGTGAATGACGCCACGCATGGGAAGGGGGTGAGGGGGCGCTACTATTTGACAATGTGGGACGAGGGAGCTGAATAGCTTGTTAAAAATGTTGGACCATGGGTTAGAGTAAAAAAATGGCCTTCATAGCGTGACGTCATTTATGAGTAGCCCCTACATGTAACGGGTCATTAAAAATCAAATGATATATCACTGTTTTCTTTTTTTGTTGTTGTTGTTTTTTAAATCATTAATGAGCTAACTGGGTAACTGGCTGAACATACATACTTCACTTCAATTATTTCTCAGTAAATTGTTCGGACTTTGTTGTCTAAAGCGATTATTTGCCCCCCCAAAAAAAAATTCAAAGAGGATCATATGATCGGCGATTCATAATCCATCGAATCCTTGAAACTTGAAATCCTCGATCGTCTTCTCCCTCATATATATTTTTTTTCTTCTTCTATAAGCGTTTAAAGTTTAAAAGAAATGCGCCTCTCCTTGAAACCCTGCACTAACAGATCTATTCGCCAGTGTCAAGTTTTTCGAGGCAAAATTTTATTGAAACAATCCAAGATCGAAGACGATGGGGGGAAAAAAATCTCCAGGCGCGTGTGTCTTTCTGTATGTGTTGGCAACATCTGCGGTGTTCGTGTCGTTTGAAACATTCTGAAACAACAATAAAATTCCATTTTCTTTTTTTTGTTAGTCGGATCCATTGTACGGTGCACATTGCCAAACATGAAGGAAATCTTTTATTCTGCAAAGCCAACATTCGGATGTTTGTACAAAGGCTCAGCCCTAGGAATTCACATCGAAATCTATGTACGTCAATAATGGACGGCTCCCATTGGTTGGCCGTGATATGCAAATGGGTCATGGGAGGAGCAAAGTGAGAAGAGTACCCGTTGAAGAGGAAGACACTCATCACTATTCAAGCCATAACTGACCATGGACGCCCTGTTCGCCACATTTGTAGTAGCCTTGGTAATAGGTACGTCATTTTTTTATACCGTGTTTGAAACTACCGTATTTGAAACTACCGTATTTGAAACTACCGTATTTGAAACTGCCGTATTTGAAACTATCGTAAACCTCGTGTAGAGAGTTTAAATTGTAAATGATCAAATGAGTAAAACTTGAAGAATGCATTTAGTAACTATTTGAAATAATGTTTGAAGATGTTTTGAATTGTAAACTTGAGAGGGACATGACTTGGTGATTTTAGACGTTGATGTAGTAATGACTTATTAAAACCCAAACAATTTGACTGCGTGGAGCCGTTCGTCAGAGTAAGATTTTGCGTAATTTGTTGAATTCCATTAAACTGATAAGGGAAACAAATGCAATCACACATTTAACATAGAGGCAATATTCAATGACTTGAATCTCAGAATGATTTTAGAGTGGTCTAGAGCGCAATGGGCACAGGGGCTAAATATATATGTAGCTTCGGGGCTCTGGTTTGAAAAGGATTTTGTTGTTGTTGTTGTTTTTGTTATTTTTGTTGTTGTAGGGTTTGTTTTTTTGTTTTTTTTTTTATTTGAAAGGTTTGCTGGTAAAAGTTTTAGAACCACTGGTGTAACTATTGAAACATGATTAAAGTGAGGGATTGTGTCCGGATACATTTTAAAAACGAAAACTCCGACCTTACGACTCCGCCACCACACCAGTCTCAGCTGTGTCCTGTGGTCAGATGATCGTTGAACAAAATGTGAAGGGGGGAAATGTCAACATTTTGTTAAAAACGTTTCAGTTTTATATTTGTTTTAAAAAATGGATTCAACTGGTCGCAAAACGAAGCAAGAAAGATTCGGCTCTTGACGACACGTAATTGCTAATCGCAATGTTTATTCTTTTGTAATTTAAAAAAAAAATGTCTGACAGTGTGGAACTTCTAGTAGAGATATCGTGTCCGGGATTCTCAAACTTAGTTCCCTCGTGAAGTATGTCAGATAATGAATTATGTGTATACATGTGTATACACAAATTATATGAATCTTGGGATTGTCCCGGTTTAGCTACGCTGTTTGCGGGCGGTTTGCCTTGTGTCCAGGTTTCAATTTAAGAAAATTATTCCGTTTCTTAATCTCTTACTCTTAGCTTCTATTTTTATGAAGCAAATGTTGGTTAACAAACACAATTGGAGCTTTATTATCCTAGCCATCTGAGCGAACATTTCGGAATTATGTCTATGAGGCAGAGAAACGTCCAGTTTAAAAAACATTGGAAATGCTTGTTAACACCCCCACCCCACCCCAGTCAACCCACTCCCCACCCTCATTTCAGAGAAAGATAACAGATACGCTCCTACTTCTGAACCATTTGAACGAGTGTTTCATGCACTAGAAATACAAATATGTTTCAAAGGTTGTCTCCCTTAGCGTTAGTTTCAGACATATGACGGGGAGTATGTTGCTGATTTACGTCAATGGTACGATGATGTATGTCTAATTGTTCATCTCCCCGCCACCACACATTAGCCCGGGGCTACGCTGATCCGGTGAAGACTTACTGCCCCACCTTTCCCGACGGAAGCGACTACCACTCGGCAGACACCCTGAGCTGCAACATCTTCTACAAGTGTTTCTACGGCAGCTGGATCAAGTTTGACTGCCCAGCTGGTCTCGTGTTCAGGGCCGACACGAGCTACTGCGACTACCCAGATAACTATCGGTGCGGTAAGTAGAGCGAGGCTGGCTTCTGTGTTACGTTTCTTTTCCGCCGACAGGGCTCTAAATGGCGCCATAGACAACGTATCTAGGATTGTAGGGTCCTAAATGGCGCTATAGACAACGTATCTAGGATCGTAGGGCTCTAAATGGCGCTATAGACAACATATCTAGGATTGTAGGGCTCTAAATAGCGCCATAGACAACGTATCTAGGATTGTAGGGCTCTAAATGGCGCCATAGACAACGTATCTAGGATTGTAGGGCTCTAAATGGCGCTATAGACAACATATCTAGGATTGTAGGGCTCTAAATGGCGCCATAGACAACGTATCTAGGATTGTAGGGCTCTAAATGGTGCCATAGACAACGTATCTAGGATTGTAGGGCTCTAATGGTGCCATAGACAACGTAGCTAGGATTGTAGGGCTCTAAATGGCGCCATAGACAACGTAGCTAGGATTGTAGGGCTCTAAATGGCGCCATAGACAACGTAGCTAGGATTGTAGGGCTCTAAATGGCGCCATAGACAACATGGGACGATTCCAGCGTAGAATCCGATTTAAAAGAGAAAAAAATTTTTCCGGAGACGCCCATAACATGGCGAAGTGGAAGTGGCAGTGGAAGTGTAAGTGGAAGTGGCAGTGGAAGTGGCAGTGGAAGTGGCCATTGTTATCATCCTCTGAATCTACCCTTTCTCCCCCAAATAATTGTTTAAACTTAAATGGGGTTTTGGAGAACCGTTATTTTCCAGTGATTAGTGGTTGATGAGATACTAAATAATGTATAGAAAAAAAAAAAAGGGGGGGGGGGGAAAGAAGGTTTCGCCCAACTAAAGACTGTCAAGAATGAGTAGCGTTGAAGTTGAAGTAAATCATCCCTGAGATTTAATATGACAGATAGTCTTTATTGGAATCGGCAAAATTGAATGAATTTTTTATTTGGACATGTTTTTGAAAGGTAAAAAAAACATGTCAGCTCTTAACAAAAATGTCTGACGTCATATATGTGCCAGATATTCCAATTTGAATATTGCTTTATGGAATTATCTCTGATTACTGGGTTTTTGTTTTTTTTAATATATAAATGAAGCTTTTGAATGCATGGTTTGTTTCGTTAAGGTGCATTAATATGTTGAAATAAATCCATAAACAGAAATATGTCCGGTTCCATGTGCTACGACCGGTACGTGCGATGCTGCCAATTCAAAATGTGTTTGTAGTACGGGTTACGGTGGTGCAGATTGCAGTGTCGGTGAGTTAACATTAGTTTACTTTTCCCAAATTTTAATGATAGTGTTAACTTTTTTTTTTGGTGGGGGTTGGGGGGGGGGAGTAATTTTAACATTAAAAAAAATTATCTGGCATCCTTCTATCTTTATTAAAGAGATTTTTTAAATTTTTGCTGAAGTGTCTCCTGCGACCCTAACCCTAACCCTAACCTAACCCTAACCCTAACCCTAACCCTAACCTAACCCTAACCCTAACCCTAAACCTGGCAAATGTTTTTTATGGAGATCCGACTCGTCCACGACGCTGGTACACCCAATGGTCAATATGATGGAGACAAGGTGCATAAACATTTGAGGAGTTGCCTGGAATTTTCATTGAGTACAATATCCTAACCCACCATGGCTTATGGGAATACCATCTCCAGATTTTTCTGCGGGGTTATGTTAACTCATGTAGCTTTAAGCCATGGGGTTTATAGCCGAAAGGCAGCATTCTTGGCATCTGCTATACTAGGGACCATATCTCCAATGAAAAAGTGAAAAAAAGGATTCGTCAAGCAATTGGGCAGTGCGATGACCTCCTGGTGACTGTCAAAAAAAGCAAACTGGAATGGTAACGTGACAAGGAAACAAGGGCTCGCCAAAGAAATCATGCTGGGCATTACGAGAGGAGGGAGAAGAAGAGGAAGACAGAGAAAAAGATGGGATGATAACATCAAAGAGTGGTCTGGGCTAAAACTAGGCGATGCCGTGCGAAGTGCAGAAAACAGAGAGGAATGGAGAAGGATAGTTTCCATGTCATCTGTGGCGCCCCACAACGGTCCAAGGACCAAGGGACATGATGATGATGATGATAAAGCCATACAATTTGATGTTAATTATTTTAGATTAAACTTCTTGTTTATGCACATGATAATATTTCATTAAAGTGAATGACACTGTGACCAGTTATGGGTGGGTTTGGGGGGGAGGCTGTCAACACAAGGACAATCAGTGGTGTATAGGGTTAGATATGAAAGAATCACAGAGCCAGATCAGTACAGCTGTGAGCGTTTTGAATTCTAAGCATTGCATTCATTACACTACACCAGGGGTCTCCAAACTACGGCCCGCGGAGACCTTTAGCAAACGGAATAAAAAATTACTCAAAAGTCCGTGTATCCTGACAAGATCAGACGCCGCTTACGTGGACGTTATGTTTTTACCGAATTAAAATAGAGGCGCGCAGTAGTGCGTTATGTTTTCTAACCGATCATTACTTAGCAAAATCTTATTCGCTGCTTAGTTTTTTTACTGCCGTTCACAGTCAATGAAATGACATGTAGCGGCGGGACTTTGCCCGCCGTGCTGCAGACATGGGTGAAAACATTGTGACTCAAATATCGAAAAATGCAAGCAAGTTTTCACCATTTTTTATTTGCAATTGATGAATCGCTGGACAGCTGTTCCACCTCTCAACTGCTTGTGTTCGTTAGGAGTGTTGTTGAAGACATGAACATAACACAAGATCTATACACCTCTTAAAGGCCTTCAGATCCAAACTCGTCTTGTTTTTGGAACAAGTACAGGCCAACAACTTGTAGCAGTGGACGGTCTTCATGGCTGAAGCAACAGCGGAGTTCCCCACGTCATTTGCATGCGAGATCATCAAAGACCCCCAGCTGCATTTTCAGCAACGGTTTTCTGACTTGGATTTAAAGGCAGAAGAAGTGAGACTTTTTCAAAACCCAGTTGAAACAGATGTGGCCAGTTGTCCAGAGGATCTGCAGCTGGAGGTCATTAACTGAATGAAATAATATTATATAAATAATTAAAAACAACATCCATGTTTTGATTCTGTTTTTTTTGGACCTCGAGTGCAGTGATTATTTCAGAAAATTTCACCCGGCCGGGCGGGGAGGGGGGGGGTAGAATTTTAGATTTGCGGGGGGTGGGAGGGGCAGTGCCAGCAATGAGTTGATTCATTGTTGGAAATAATTTGCTTCGGGGCGTGGGGGCACTTGGCTTTCCCTCGGGGAGGGGGGGAGAGGCATTTCCCTGGGGGGGGGGAGGCTAAGATAATGCTGACAGAAACCATGCTCGAGTGTGCAATCGGCCCGCGAACTACTGTTTGATAGTTAATGCGGCCCTCGGGCTGAAAAGTTTGGAGACCCCTGCACTACACGCAGGATAAAAAAAAAAATGATCGATTATTTGTCTTCAGATATTGATGAGTGCTCTGCAAAAACTGCCACCTGTTCTCGAATTTGTACCAACACTCCAGGCTCCTACATATGTAGCTGTGATCCAGGCTACACCCTATCAGCTGCTGGTTATTGCTCTGGTAAGTTAGGTTCCTTTCTCTTTACTGCTCTGACTCTTTCATAAAACCGGTACCAGCATTTTTAGTTCTTATTAGTAATAAGCTAACATGGTATGAACACGGCTAAATTCTGTATAAATTCAACCAAGTGTTGTTTTTTTTAAAAAACATTTGGCATTAGAAAAAAAGTTATTAACATATTCTGCAGTGCAACAATTGGACGCCGACGCCGACGGAACTTCAGTATTACCCGCTGGTGTGGAAATTCATCATCTGACATCTAACACCGACTAATTAAACTAACCAAGAAAGCTAGTAATACCACACAAACTAAACATCATTCACTCGAAAAACCATTTGAATTGAAGAAAAATGCTGTAGTGTAGTGAAACAAAAAATTGTTAGATAATGCATCCTACCCTCTTGATCCCAGATACGTAAGATCAGCTTGATCAGGGCGAATTTTTTCCTTTAAAGTTAGGGGCCGGAAGATGTAAAAATTATTTTGTTCCCAGTGTGTGCTCCTACCAGTGGTTACCAAATCTAAATTAACACTAATTTACTCATTATTGTGTAGTGATGGCTGATTTTTACGCTAGACAAATACTTTAGATGTCTTGTATTTGAATTGTTATATAATTATAAAATGTTTTGTATTTTCAATTGTATTGGTTAAAAACATGTAGGCCTATTTATTTTTGTGCTGAAGAAAATGAACATGTCTTATCTTATATTTATATCAAAAAAATTCTTTTAGAGTTAGAGACCTAAATAATTGAATTTATTAATATGTAAAATTCACAAATTTATTTTGATTATTTGCTTATAAATTCAGTGTTGATTTTTAATTAACCAATAACACCTAGTAATGTTTAGTACAATCAAATAGTCTGAGTAAGACTTCAAGAACTGTCATTATATTATGTAGATTGTTATTAAAAAAATTTTTTTTTCTCTAAAATAATAATATGAATTGTCATTGAAATAGCATTAATTTCTTACAAAGGTAACTTAACTGCAAGACTGTTAAGCTAAACTAATGTGTGGATCTTTTCCCAATAATGGGTTGTAATAATTTTAAGGTATCCATGCCATTTATTTTTATGATCAAGTAAACACTAATTATTGACTTCAATATGTTCTAAAACCCAACAGACATCAATGAGTGTGCTCTAAATACTGATAACTGCCCTGCCGGTTGCTTCAACACACCAGGTGGCTATACGTGTGGCTGTCCAGCAGGCTACAACACAGCTGCTGATGGCCAGTGTGTAGGTGAGGGTCTTAAATTTAATTAAACTTACGCTTTAAAGTACAATTTTATCTTAAGTAACGTAGAGTAAATTTTAAAAAAGAGGGTAATAACTGCTTTCAAATGTAAGTAAACAACCCCCAAAATACAAAATTTTTCATATAAATCCTTTATATGTATTTTTGTTTGTAGGGCCTATGTTACATATAATATGTCTAATGATACATGATTTATCATTTATGTTATTTTAGAAACTGAGTTTTGGTGTGGGAATGGTTTTTATCAAAATATGTGCATGTAAAACCTAATAAACTAAAAATTTATTGAAACCCAAAGATGTCACAAATACAAAACACATAGCAACAGCTGCACTATTAATCTCCACACCAAAGCACACACGCATTTAAAAATCACATTTCATATTTCATTCATCTTCCCTTGGAAAAACAGGAGAAACTGATCTTGGGGGTTGGGGTGGGGGTGGGGCTGAAAGTTTGATAGAATGTGATGTCATTGGCAACAAGTCTATGTGCCAAGTTTCAGCTCGATAGGATGATGGGAAGTGGGTCAGTTAGCCTTCCGAAGTGTTTTGCCTGAAACACATGAACAAAAGTGAATTTAAATAAATGATTTAAATATAAGCCTCATATCATTTGTGTACAGGCAACTTTAAAAAAACAACAACATAAAATGGATGAAATAAATCAAATAGTTTAATTATAACATTGTGTCAACCAAATAAATTTTAATGCTAATGAATTGTTACATTTAACACCCTTTTAGATATTGATGAGTGCACTACAGGATCAGAGACATGTGCGGATATCTGCAACAACACTCCAGGAAGTTATACTTGTGACTGTGGTACTGCTGGGTATATACTTTCTGCAGATGGCAGAAGCTGTGAAGGTATTTTGTGTTTTTGTTTTAAGTTTACTTATGTTCCTTGACAGAATGGGGGGCTCACCGGTTGAAGTAACAGAGTGGGGTGCTCACCAGTTACCTTAACAGAATGGGGTACTACTGGCTGCCTTAACAGAATGGGTAGCTCACCGCAAGGCAAAGGAGGAGGTTTTGAGGACAAAGTTCTTTTTCTCTTAGATGAGCAATCATCCATGTTTGATGATCCCATAATATATGAAATGTCTGGAGTTGTATTGATTTGTTTTCTGATGGGGCTTTGAAATCCAGCTCAATAATATTGTGTGTTATGGTCTAGGGCTGACACACTTGGCCACACATTCAGCCAAAATATAACTTTATGCACTTTCAAACATGGTTCATAAGAAAGGGAAATACTATTTTTAAAAGCTTTGGGGAGTGAGGTTAAAAAAAGATGGTATGGAGACCACATATGCAAACAGCAAAATCTAATGCAAATTTTATTTTGACTGTCATTTAGTTATTGCAAATTTTATTTTGACTGTCATTTAGTTATTGCAAATTTTTTTTTTTTTTTTATATTAGATAGGTATTTAAAATTTGTTTTGAATACTTAACAATTAATTTTTAAAACTACATAGCTGTTTCAAATTTAGTTTTTGATTACTTTAAAGCTAAGCTATCCATAAACACTATTTAACTTATAAGAATTCTGTGATTAATTTCAGCAATACCTGGCCCCAAAATTACTTGTTCCCCATCCTGTCAGAATGGAGGGACCTGTGTGCTTAACCCGGCCACAAACACCAATATTTGCCAATGCGAGTTTGGCTTCATTGGCACAGCTTGTGAAATCTGTAAGTGTTTTTTTGTTATTCTTTTGTCTATATCTTATTTCTTTATCATCAAGTAGATTTATTACCTACTTAAAATATTTAAATGATATCCTCATCACAAATAATAGTTCTCTATGTGTGTATGCATGGTTGTATCACTGTGTTCAATAGGCGGGCTAGATAAAATTCCCAGAGTTCAGCATTTTAATTGAGATTCTAATAAAGTGTGTTACTTGAATGCATATGTTGTCAAGGTACGGAACTCCATGCACAGGCACCACCATTTTTTGGTTGGTTATTTTATAGTATTTAAATAATATCCTCAGAAACAAGAAGCTCTGTGACTGGGCAGAGCTGTTTTATTTAACAAATTTTACAACTGAGCAGAACTATTTTACTAAGAAAGCTGTTTTATATAAGAAGTTTGGTGATTGAGCAGAGCTGCTTTTTTAAGATGTTTTGCAAATGATCTGGCTGTTTTACTAAGAAGTTTTTAGAATGAGAAAGGCTGTTTTACAAAGAATTGCATGGACTTATCCTATCAATAATAAGTTGAGATTTCATATCTTTTACCCTCAGTTAACTTGTGTGCTCCAATCAACTGCCAGAATGGAGGTGTGTGCTCCATTGTTGATGGCCAAGGAATGTGTACTTGTCCGCTGGGTACAAGTGGTCCACAGTGTGCGACAGGTACGGACACAACTGAGATTTCATTAACCATTGCAAGTAAACAGAAATAATAACCCAGTCCCTTTAAAGACATTACCATTCAAGATCTCCAGATCTCATTAAACCAGAGGGAATATTCCCTTCTACTCCTGGAGAATGCCCGTTAGCCATTATTTGTTCTCTAGGCTAACAGACACAAGTGCAGTACTTGGGTGTTTAATAGCTGGAATGAACTTACGGATATTTTTTTTAGACTTACAAAAGCACTAAATTGAAACACCATTTTTTTAATGGTTTCTCCCTTTAATTAAGCAGAGTGGGCAGCAAAAATTATGGACCGAGTACTAATCAATTTGATGGGCTTTAACTTCAAATTGTTACATATGGAGTTTTCATTCTTTGGTTGGAAACCTTATTCTTTTCATTGACCTTGAATGAAGAGTTCCATGTCTTCGAAGCATAATGTTTTCAGAGCCTTAACTGGCTCATTTCTGAAGTGTTTTTTTGTTCGTTGTTTTTTTAAGTCTCTAAAGAACAATGTTTTCAACTACATTTAAAGGAGGAACAAAATATAAAAATCCCTATTCAGATTTACTTCATCATCCATGGTTTTTTTTTTGGTTTTTTTACAAACCATTTTTATTTTGGTGTTTAGTTTATATTATGAAGTTTTTTCCTTGGATGGTACAATCTTTCACAGTTGATCCGAACTTCAACCCGTGTCAGACATCTGGTATCACCTGCCTTAACGGTGGCCAGTGTGTAGCCAGGAATGGTGTGGCCACATGCCTCTGTGCATCTCCATACATAGGATCCTATTGTGAACAGACAGGTGAACAAATTTGTCAAACTCTTTAATACTCTTTGTCAATGCCGAGCTGCAAAAAACAAAATAACAAAACAAACAAACAAATTATGCACAGAACTACTAAATGTAGAGTCAGAGAATAACATTAACATTATATCACCAAATGTTAAGCAGAAATAAATTATTTTTGCATTTTTGCTGTTAAAAACCTTGATGCAGGGTACCAAATAAAAGTGAGGCTTCTCGCTATAAGTAAATTTGATTGGCTAGATAACAAATACCATTTAGAATAAACAAAAAGGTAAACATTTTGTGTCGTGTTAATTATATTGGTGCGTTTGGAGGCATAACTTGTGTGTTTCACTACCTTACTAAAATAAAAGCGTTTTCATTGGAAAAATTGGAATGGTTTAATGATGCACTATTGGTGAAATGTTTCGTGTTTCAATGAGGTTTATTAAATTCTGAGATGTTAATATTTACTTAAGTTTGTTAAATATATATAGTAAATATGCTGCTAAGAGTAATGTTGTAATTTTCCTCTCCATTCAGGCACTGTGATTCCTCCTGACACATGCAATCCCAGCATCCTCTGTCAAAATGGTGGCAAGTGTGTTCAGGTCAACAATGCTCCAACATGTTTCTGCCCTCAAGGATATGGTGGTCTGTACTGTGAAATAGGTGAGTCCATTGGTGGTCTTTGCTGTGAGAAAGAATCTTTAACTTTGGTTAAGTTTATTTGCAGTGTCTGTTCGGTATCAGAGAATTTTTTAATATAAACTTTTACCAAGCATAATATAATCCATTTGATCTATGAATAATTAATTATTATATAACCTAACAAGTGCAATGAAGAGAAAAAAGAATTTGATGTAGAAAGTAGGCTATTGATTTAAAAATGAAATATGGATTTATGAATTCAAATGATTTTGTCATAATGTGATAAACAAAAGGAAATAATCTACTTATATAAGATATCTCATCTGTTGTTTATTATATTATATCTGTCTGTATCCTTTTTTAGAACAGGGGATTGTGTAAGAAAATATGCTATTTTAGTCAAATAATCTCATGAGGTAACATTTTCTTATTTGTTTTCAATGATACTTAAATTTTCCCGATTAGCCTTGAACCCATGTTGTTACATCTCCTGTCAAAATGGTGGACAGTGTGCTTATTCTTCTGGCTATCTTACATGCTTGTGTCCCAATGGTTACACTGGACCTAGGTGTGAGCAAGGTAAAAACAGATTTTCTTATTAACCTTTCTTGGCAAATCATCATGACATTTTTATGAGTAATAAATTCCAGGATATTTTTTGAACCCTTTTCATACAGGCTGGAAAAAGTCCACACTATTATGCTTTAAAGTAACAAGAACATTTCTTATCTTAGTTTTGCTTACCCTAGGTTGAAGATTTTTTTTTTTTAGCATTATCAATTGATATTGATCTAATCAATGAGCAATAAATACTACCAAGGAAAAAATATTAATTAATTTAAAATGGAATTAGGAGTGCCCTTGTCAACTATAGTTTCATCAATTAAATATTTAAATTTTACTGGGAATCATAATATTAGTTTGTGTAGGTAACCGAGGTAGTGGAAAAATACCTTCAATGGTTTACGTTGTCTTATGTACCCTGTTTACTCAAATTGTTTACCTGATGTATTGCAGTAACTGCATGCCTGGGTTACACATGCCAGAATGGTGGTCAATGTGTGCTCAATGGAGGTTTGCCAACATGTAACTGCCCAGATGGATATACAGGAGCCAAATGTGAAACTCGTAGGTTTATAAAATTATTTGAGGCTAAAAACTCTATTTCATTCCTTGTGTTGGAGATGAAAAATTTTTTTTTTTTTTTTTTTGGCGCCACATTATTTCTTGCCTTACGAAGTTGATTTGCCTCATTTAAAAAAAAAAAATAGGTGTGATTCACAATCATTTCACAATGTTAAAAACATTTAAAATTACATTAAATGATATTTTTAAAACCACCTTTCATGTGTGGAGAATTGAGACAAAAGTTTCTTTGTAAAATTGAGTCATACATTTTTTTTTGCCAATGCTATAATGTAAAGCCATATTATTTCAAGTTTTGCTAAAAACAATTTTAAGATAATTGAAAAATGACTTTACAACGATAAGGATTTATGAGGTAAGTAAAATACAATTTGTTTTTGATAAGGAGCATCATCTTAATGGCATTGTGAAGGCTGTCTTTTTTTTAAATTTTTATTATAACTTTGTAACGGGCTTTAAGCCTTTGGGGATGAAGCGTGTTTTTGAAATAAACTTTATTATTATTATTATTAGATGCTTATTATATTGATTTTTGTTTTAATCTATTAAATTTATTTATGACTCAATAATTTTTATCTACATATTATTTTCAAGAGAAAACAAAATTAAAATCTATATCCTATTTTAAACTACATTTAACCTATTCTATGCTTAGCTGACCCATGTGGCAATGTGGTGTGTTTAAATAATGGCGTTTGCAAGGTGGGAACTCAAGGGGACCTCACTTGTGAGTGTCCTACCGGCTATACTGGATATTTCTGTGAGCTCGGTAAGTTACCGGCACCACCCATTAAGTAAACATTTTATTATTTCCATTTGCTTTCTTGAAAAACACTAATAATTTTTACCTGCCAGTTTTCACTTTTAAGGAGGTGGTAGATCTAAAAGAACCATTATTTTAGAGTTATAACAGTAATCAAAATAAATCAAGAATGTATTCTCTAGTTAAATATTGTCACTCAGTTTAGGATTTGTTTGTCCTAATAAAAAATAATCATACATAAATAAACAAACATCTTAAACCAATGTTGGTCAGAATGAAGCATAATTTTTATTTATGAGAGAATGAGATGATCAATGTTAGAAATAATTTCATCCTGACAGAGGTGGACTGCAGCAAGCTGACTTGTTTGAATGGAGGGCAGTGTGGCATCATTGACAACCAGGCTGTATGTGACTGTCCTACTGGCACATCCGGAGAATTCTGTGAGAAAAGTAGGTAGTTGCCTCTAACAGCTTGTCAACAAATTTGGACATCAATTTCAATACACATATTCTAATAATTTTTATAAATTGTTTCATTACTATGTCCATGACATTTGAAGATTAGAAAAATGACCAGACTTTCAAGCAAATACAAAACAAAAGCTTTTTTCCCCACCCACCATAGTGCAAAATTGCATCAGCATAGCATATAAATTTATAAATCATTAAAAAAAAAGGTATTTCAACTGTTTGTAAATTTGACAATTTACAATTTCAAGTGATCTGATGTTTAAATATAAACACACGAAATTCATAAATTTGACATAGCTGAAATAGGGAGCAGGTAGCTGTATTATTTTCATTATATGATGCAGCCATATGCTATGCTACTTGATGTAGGCCTACCAGACAAAAGCTAGTTTCTTTAAATCCATTGCAAAGCGGCAATAATTAAAATATATAACGACTATAATTAAATCCAGCTGAAACTGGATAGGTTTCCTAGTAAGATTAAATATCAGGTAAATGTTGTTGAAAGACAATAATCTTAAACAATAATCTTTAGGCCACATGCTAAAATAAATAAGGCAAAATTTAAAAAAAACTTTTCACCTATTTGAATGGTTTATACATTTAAGAAAGAAATGTATGCTTAGAGCTAATTCATAAAGTCTTATTATTTACATAGTTATTGCACTGACACTGTTACACTGAGATTGTCAACTTCTTTAGTAATGTACCGGTACTGTATATTTTTCAGTATCAAAAACTTTGTTAGGCCTTATTTCATCAAAAAAATATGTAAATCTTAAAGGTTAAACTTATGAAAATTTTAAACTGGGTATTGAAATTTGTGGATTATTTGGTTGTCAGGAGCTGCTTGTGGTGCCAAAGATTCTCCGTGTCTGAATGGTGGACAGTGCACAGATTCTGAACAAGGATTTGTCTGCACCTGCACCTTTGGCTGGACAGGAGCAAATTGTCAACAGAAGCGTGAGTCTGAGCATTGTAGCCAGCTTAGCTGATAAATTAATTTCAATTGATTGATTAAAGTTCAATATTTTTAAAAAACATCTTTTATCCTGAACTTTAAATATGTATACTTTGAATAATATTTTAAGAAAAATTTATGTCTCCATAATTCTGCCCAAAATAACTTCAAAGAAGAGTAATTATTTCTCTAACTAAGAATTGTATTTTATTGAAAATCAACTTTATTTTTATAGTTAATATACCATGCATAAACTACAATGGACTTGTCAGATTATTTTTTTTTTTTTGACTCGGAGATATTTAATATTTTTAAGCAATGATTTTCTGTTTTATTTCAAAAAGTGCTTTTTTTTTTTTTCATTGCCAGGAACATGTGCCACTAGCCTCATTCAGTGTGAAAATGGCGGCCAATGTACTGACACTGCAGATGGAGCTAAGTGCAGCTGTCCTTCGAGTTATACAGGCTCTTACTGTGAAACTGTTTTGGGTAAGAATAGTAAACAATTTCATTTGATCTAAACTTAGAGCAGTAGTTTTCAACCCTTTGGGGACAATATGTCCAGGGCCTCTTGAGAACTTCAGAAATATTTTTTGAAAATGTTTAATGTGCATTTTTATCTTTTTTGTGCCTCTTGTCATTTTTAAATTTAAATAATATTATTTATAGTGATCAGGCTTGTTTCTTATTATCACTACAGCACTGTGACTAGAGTACAACTACATCTAGGATTCATTCAGTAGATGTCTGCAGTTAACATTTTCTATTAAATTGAGACTTTCATATAAGTTACTTAAATTAATTATAGAATTTTGATTAGTCACAATACATTTGACAATATACAGTCAGTTCATAATTCCCCCCCCCCCACTAAACAAAAAAACACTTCACCTCTTTTTACACCTGTTCCTCTTTTTCAAGTAATATTACTGTTGTTGGATTAACATTTTCTATTAAATTGAGACTTTCATATAAGTTACTTAAATTAATTATAGAATTTTGATTAGTCACAATACATTTGACAATATACAGTCAGTTCATAATTCCCCCCCCCCCCACTCAACAACAAAACACTTCACCTCTTTTGACACCTGTTTCTCTATTTCAAGGAATAATACTGGTGGTGGGTCACTACAATATAGCAACTGTTCTCCAGGAGTTCATGTACTAAAAAGGTTGAGAGCCTCTGATTTTGAGATTTGCAATAATCAGTAGGTTTTATCGGTTTAAAAAAAAAATTATTTATAGAGATTTTTTTTTGTTGCTGCAATAGAAAACTAATTTTTTTCCATCTTTTTTTCTGTTTAGATGGGTGTGGTGGCTGTCAAAATGGTGGTGTTTGCAAAGTGTCAGAGATTTTCCCAATAAACAGTACAGAAAAGTCATGCGCTTGCCCAGCAGGCTTCACGGGAGCACTGTGTGAAACAGCTGCAGGTTTGATTTCATGTTATGTCTGTACTGTAAAGAGCAATGTCTATTTGAGTGGAGATCTTTGTACTACTGGGATTCTTTATTTAAATAAAATAACACCCCAAAAGCTAATAATAAGAATCAAATATCTTGAGATTGATCATAAGAAAGATAAAGTGCAGCTATGAAAATATTTAAAATAATAACATATAGCCTGCACACTGCTAACTTACAAAGTAAAAAAACAAAAAAGATATGGTAATATTTTTTAAAAATTTGTATGCATTTTTTTGCTTCAAATGATTCAGCAGTGACGCTAATAAAAATAAGTTTTAAAAATGAATTATGCTTTTATCTTTAAAAATGAATCTTTATCTAACTTTGCTGAAGATTGCACAATTCCTTGTTCACCACTGCTTGGAAAGGGAGGTGATCGCTACCAGGTGCTTGTTTTCCCTGATCTGACATCCCCTAATCATGTGTATGTGTGCAGAGAAGGACTGCTTCAGAGAGTCAATTCTTGCCCTGATACCAGGTATTTTCGTCGAATTTATTGACTTCCTGTAACTAATAAAAAGATGCTGGATTTTTATTTTATGTGAGATACATGACATTTTTTTATTCGGCATCAAAACTGGAACTTAACTCAGTATTTTTTTTTTATTTGGAGATACTCAGATCAATCTGGTGCATTTTCTCATGGTGATTGTTAATACTTTTGTTTTTCTTAGGGACTTGTACCCATTCTAATTCTTTTCTTTCTTGTTTAGGTAGGATATCAATATATATATATATATATATATTCATAAATATATATTATGTAAAGTTAATTTATATGAATGCTTTTTTGTTGTACTTAATAAGGCATTTGCTGAAACATTTGTATTCTGTGTAACCATTATTAAAGCTTAACCTGTATTGTTTTATTTACACAAATCATTTGTGTCTCATTAATCTACTTCAAAGCTTTATCGCAGTCTAACAATCTTACAATATTTTAAGTTGATACAGTCAATATTTCTGTCTTCTTCTCTCTTCTTTATTTTAAGTGCCCACGATCAATGTATCAATCATTCTAGCTGCTATATTTCTATGGCTTTAGTGACTAATATTATGAGAACAAAGTTTTTTTTTTATTTGTTGAATGAAGCTGCAAAATAAAATGGAGAATATTATTAACATAGTTACAAATCCATCCCAGAAGATATCATATTCGCAACTCATCTTCAGGTACAATATCTACACAACTGGCTGTCTGACCAATGACCAGATGATACAAGCCACCCTTACATGCCAAAATAACTACTACCCTCAGTAAGCCAGGGCTGGAAGAGCAAGGAATCATCTTCAATCCAAAGAGTTTGAAAATGCATACAGACTATAGATCACACTTTTTTTTGCAATAATAAACATCAACCAGCATTTTCTCATACTGATAATAACAAATAAAAATTAATTTTTTTTAAAAGAATTTTATTCATGTTTTGAAAATTTTATATTTACTTTGATATAGCAAAAATAATTTTTAACGGTGACAGAAGCTTATGTATAGAATGCTGATTTAAAAGAAGAAAAATAATTGAAATTAAATTGTATTTCTAATGTTTCTTGTCCTAATAAAATAAAGAAAATTTAGGATACAAAAAAATCTGTTATTTAATGCATTTTGGCGCAAATAATAAGTTTTCTTAAAATTTGACAATATTGTTTTATATAAAGCTATAGTCTATTTTTGTTCAATACAAATTTACAAAACAGCATTATTATTATTAACTCTCTTTGTTTAATGAAAAAATTTGAAGATTTTCATGTAGTAGAGCAGGGGTGGACAACCTTATGGTAATATTGTGCCAAAGTAAGATGTCTGCCTAAATCAGCTTGCCATAAAACTGTTAACTCCCTCATAAGTCTCATTTTAGTCATTTATTTGGTCTGTCGCCTGCCACTGAAAATTGTTTGTAGCCAAGGCATATTTGCCGACCCCTGAAGCAGCAAAATGATCTGTAACATGTTCAATTTAGTCATTTTTCTTAATCTGTAGTGCATCATTTGATTTATATTGTCATCTGGGAAACAAAATATGTAACTCAAAGAATTTATTACTTCTCATAATTGAAAATATTAATTTTTTTTAAAAAGTTTTCACCGAAAATCCTATTTTAATATCACCCTTAATTTCAAATGCAGATTTCAGTGACATGTTATTTCAGTGGAATAATATAGAATAGTGGCTCCCAACCTTTTTCTCTCTCATTCGCCTTTATTAGACTTTTTTTTGCGAGTAACAACCCCCCACCCCCCACCCCACCCCCACATATTGAAATGTAGCTTCTCGTAGAGGAACAGGTTTTAAAAAAAAAATAGTTTTGTTGTTTTCCCGCTATTATAAATATAATTTTTGCGTACCTCAAGAATACCTCCAAGGACATGAGTACCTCAGGTTGGGAAACGCTTTTCTAGGACTAATGTTTTAAATGCTACTTTTTTTTTCAATTTATTTATTGGGCTGGTTATTTTAAGGCAGTGGTTCTCAACCTTTTTAATGCAGTGACCCTTTAAATATAGTTCCCCATGTTGTGGCAACCCCCAACCACAAATTATTTTTGTTGCTACTTTTTATCTGAAGGGTATTTGTGTTTTTCGATGGTCTTAGGCGACCTATGTGAAAGGGTCGTTCGACCCCCCAAAGGGGTCGCGACCCACAGGTTGAGAACCGCTGTTTAAGGCATCTGGTTTTTTTTTTACATTGCATTAATTTTTCAAAGATAAGTCTTCATTAATGAGGAATCAGGAGGTAATCAATGCATCATATGATGATCTACCAGTGTTCTAAATGGTGCATCTCCAAATTATAGGAAATCATGGTTAATTGAATGTGAGTGTTTAATTGAATGCGAGTGTTTAATTGAATGTGAGTGTTCGATTGAATGCAAGTGTTAAATTGAATGCGAGTGTTTAATTGAATGTATGCCAGTGTTTGATTGAATGTGAGTGCTTCAGTGTCTTCAAAAAATTGACGTTTTAAATATTAATAAAATATTTTTTACATTTAGATAAGGATTTTGAAGTACTCGCTTAAGGCACTATTCATTCATTCAGTCCCCATGTGCAGACTGTTTAAAGCAGGGGCCAAGAATGTCACTTTTGACTGGCCAAGGAATGCCACTTTTTATTGACCAAGGAATTCCACTTTTTATTGACCAAGGTATGCCACTTTTTTATTGACCAAGGAATGCCACTTTTTATTGACCAAGGAATGCCACTTTTTATTGACCAAGGAATGCCACTTTTTATTGACCAAGGAATGCCACTTTTTATTGACCAAGGAATGCCACTTTTTATTGACCAAGGAATGCCACTATCGACTGGCTTAAGAATGCCACTTTTTTATTGACCAAGGAATGCCACTTTTTATTGACCAAGGAATGCCACTTTTTATTGACCAAGGAATGCCACTATCGACTGGCTTAAGAATGCCACTTACTTCTGACCAAGGAATGCCACTTTTTATTGACCAAAGAATGCCACTTTTTATTGACCAAGGAATGCCACTTACATCTGACCAAGGAATTCCACTTACATCTGACCAAAGAATGCCACTTACATCTGACCAAGGAATTCCACTTACATCTGACCAAAGAATGCCACTTACATCTGACCAAGGAATGACCAATTGTTTCTGGAAGTCACCTCTGTGCAGCATAACGGGGTTAATCCACATTCTCTCCGGTTCTGGGCCACATATCTTTGTGTCTTCCGGCGTTGCTGTTTCCTAATGTCTGGGCTGTCCGTCTTCATGCGGTCCCGGGAAGTTCGCTTGGTGACATTCTACAAACAATACCAAGCCATCTCTGACAAAGTGCCCGCACTGACGCCTGCAGTGGTTTCCACCCTCGATCAGCATATTAGTACTTCAACACAGACTGTCTATGGACAGACTTTGTTCTGTTGGACTCTACTAAGTCTAGGCGTTTGGACGTGAAAATTTCCACCTTCCATTCTACTATGGGAAGCGTTTTCAAACCCTCTGAAGCTGGTTTACAGAGGACACAACTTGATTCATCAACATTTAATAGAGAGCCATTCATACGACGTACGCACTGAAAAGGAAAAAGGGGGGGGGGGAGAGGGGGCGGGTTGTCGATTTGGGAGATTTGCGCGCCCGTGTGTATTTTAGAAACGCACGGCGCTGCTACATGTTGATTTAGCAAAGCAAAAGATGTACGTCACCAGTGGTGTAGCTTGGGTTAGGGCCGTCCCTTTTCAAGGTAAAAAAAGTTTCACCCTTGGCGGACCACCCCCTTTTAGCCATTCATACGACGTACGCACTGAAAAGGAAAAAGGGGGGGGGGAGAGGGGGCGGGTTGTCGATTTGGGAGATTTGCGCGCCCGTGTGTATTTTAGAAACGCACGGCGCTGCTACATATTGATTTAGCAAAGCAAAAGATGTACGTCACCAGTGGTGTAGCTAGGGTTAGGGCCGTCCCTTTTCAAGGTAAAAAAAGTTTCACCCTTGGCGGACCACCCCCTTTTTTCTCCTACGTCTACGCTGCTCTACGTCACACCACGTGATGACGTAATTCGGCACTACCACGCCATGACAAGTGCTATTCGCAGGGGAACAAAAAAAAAAAGAATCTTTTTTTTCCGTCAGAAACTCTTGCATATCTCGCATTTGGCATGTTTTACGCTATTTCCATGTTGTTTGTTTTTTTAAACTGAAGTCGACTCACATGGGAACAGATCGTCACGCCCACCGAGCACTTCCCGTACATTTAAAATCCTTCCTTGTTTACTTAAGCCAGGAAACATGCGGGTCGGCTATGGACAGTGTTTTAATTTGTGTGTGGAGGATTTTTCTGCCGGGGAAGGGCGGGGGGAGATTCTTAACACAATCTTCTAGCATTCTAGCATAAACTTGGCTAGTCACTTAAATTAATAGAATCTTCCGTTAACCGAGATGTCGTAAAATAACAATCGTGACGCACAGAGGTTCATTAAAATCTATATTCTATTGCAAGTAATATTTGCGCCAGTGAGTCTTTGAATCTAACAGTGGAGATGTGGTCATGTTGTGTTAAAAAAAAAAAACATGTTAAGTGTTGTATCAAATTTTCATTAAAGTTAATGATTGAGAAGTCTACGTGTTATGTAACACACATGGTCGTGCAAATGGAGAGTGGGTGACAGAGGCGTAGCGAGATTGTTTGGCGCCCGGAGACAAGATTCATTATAAAGCGCCCCCTTTTCTTTTTTTCAACTCTCAAACCCATTATTTTCATCAATAAAATAATATCAAAAGCACATTTTGGCGCCCCTACCTAGCAAGCGCCCGGGGACATCTGCCCCCCTCGCTACGCCTCTGGTGGATGAAGGGGACACAGGCCCCCGGGGGGTGCAAACATTACAGGGCGTTAACATTTGTTAATTTAATGGAATGAAAAAAAAAAAAAAAAAGAAAGAAAAAGGCACCAATAAACAAACCCATCACATTTAAGAAAAGGGGACACAGGCCCCCGGGGGGTGCAAACATTACAGGGCGTTAAAATTTGTTAATTTAAAGGAAAGAAAAAAAAAAAAAAAAAGAAAGAAAAAGGCACCAATAAACAAACCCATCACATTTAAGAATTCAACTGTACACAATGGTGTGGTCAAAAATAGAAGTCCTACCGTTAAGCTGGACAGAACGGCAGTCCCCTCATTGGGGTGGGGGTGCACACCGCACTGGGTGAACAGGGAGGTAACACCAATAATTGGGGAACTGCATAAAGTCGACAGAGCTCACTCGAGTCATTTTCATAACAGAACTGTCACCACCAGATCAGGTTTTCACCAGAACAGGGTGCCACCCAGTGGCGTAACTACCGTGGTAGCAGCTACAGCCGGCTGCGGGACACGGCCCCGGTCCGACTAAGAATCATTATGAGCACAGACCGTCAGTCACAATATAGAGATGAGGGATTAAAAGAAAAGGCAAATCTACTTGTTTGATCAGACCCTACGGGAGATATGTATTCTATTTAATCTTTTTAATTCTGTATTCTTGGCACTCTATTTTCTGACACTTTCCTGTTTTGTGACGTCATATGACGTTCATTTTACTTCCACTGACAAAATATATAACAATCCAAGGCCCAAGTGGAGAAATAAAACGAAAAGAAAGCACGGGGAGATGTTTAATTTAAAAAACTACAAAAAAAAAAAAAAAATATATATATATATATATTTTTTTTTTTTTTTTGGGGTAATCCAGCAGTTAAGCAACATCATTCTGCCCCACACGAGTTAAAAAGTCGACCGAGTCAAGATGGTCGTAGAGCAGCAGGTGAAACGCAAAATACTGTTGCTAATGGCGGAAATGTTCAACGTCACCAGGGAAGGTTGTCGTGCAAGTTCCACGGCTAGTAAATGCAGTAGAAGCGTTTGATCCCAAGAAACTGTTGAAACTGCAAACAAATTGAATGAAATTCCAGTCGAAATCGAAATAGTGATTGTCAATGGCCAATGGTCAGAGCAAGCCTTTCTGTTAAAGTTAATCTAAGTGACAACAGGATCAAACGTTTGTTCGTGGTAAATGGCCCATGTGAAGCCAAAGGTCAAAGGTCCTTTCCCTGGGGACTTATATTTAAAAAAAACAGCAGCTTGTCAGCAAAGTATTTTGGGACGACAACTAAAACTGAATTGAAATGGCCAGTAGCTTTGGACTGAAATGACCAGTTACTTTGGACTGAAATGACCAGTTACTTTGGACTGAAATGACCAGTTACTTTGGACTGAAATGACCGGTTACTTTCGACTGAAATGACCAGTTACTTTCGACTGAAATGACCAGTTACTTTGGACTGAAATGACCAGTTACTTTCGACTGAAATGACCAGTTACTTTCGACTGAAATGACCAGTTACTTTGGACTGAAATGACCAGTTACTTTGGACTGAAATGACCAGTTACTTTCGACTGAAATGAACAGTTATTTTGGACTGAAATGACCAGTTACTTTCGACTGAAATGAACAGTTACTTTGGACTGAAATGACCAGTTACTTTCGACTGAAATGAACAGTTACTTTGGACTGAAATGACCAGTTACTTTCGACTGAAATGACCAGTTACTTTGTACTGAAATGACCGAGTACTTGGTTGTGGTATTCACAGAACTGGACTCTGTGTATTGTGAGCCGTGTTGATTTTTTAGTGATCTCACAAAACTTGAAAGAAAAGGAATCTGTAAATTGATATAAAATGGATGTAAAATTCATTTGCATGAAGCTTCAGATGGGCATGAAGATTTCAGATGAGCATGAAGATGTCAGATGGACATGCACTGCCACAATGATAAGTGTCTTGACCAAGGCTATGACGGCACTGCCACAATGACTAGTGTCTAGGCCAAGGCTATGACGGCACTGCCACAATGACTAGTGTCTTGGCCAAGGCTATGACGGCACTGCCACAATGACTAGTGTCTAGGCCAAGGCTATGTCGGCACTGCCACAATGACTAGTGTCTTGGCCAAGGCTATGTCGGCACTGCCACAATGACTAGTGTCTTGGCCAAGGCTATGACGGCACTGCCACAATGACTAGTGTCTTGGCCAAGGCTATGACGGCACTGCCACAATGACTAGTGTCTTGGCCAAGGCTATGACGGCACTGCCACAATGACTAGTGTCTTGGCCAAGGCTATGACGGCACTGCCACAATGACTAGTGTCTTGGCCAAGGCTATGACGGCACTGCCACAATGACTAGTGTCTTGGCCAAGGCTATGACGGCACTGCCACAATGACTAGTGTCTTGGCCAAGGCTATGACGGCACTGCCACAATGACTAGTGTCTTGGCCAAGGCTATGACGGCACTGCCACAATGACTAGTGTCTTGGCCAAGGCTATGACGGCACTGCCACAATGACTAGTGTCTTGGCCAAAGCTATGACGGCACTGCCACAATGACTAGTGTCTTGGCCAAGGCTATGACGGCACTGCCACAATGACTAGTGTCTTGGCCAAGGTTATGACGGCACTACCACAATGACTAGTGTCTAGACCAAGGCTATGACGGCACTGCCACAATGACTAGTGTCTAGGCCAAGGTTATGACGGCACTGCCACAATGACAAGTGTCTTGGCCAAGGTTATGACGGCACTACCACAATGACTAGTGTCTTGGCCAAGGTTATGACGGCACTACCACAATGACTAGTGTCTAGGCCAATGCTATGACGGCACTACCACAATGACTAGTGTCTAGGCCAAGGCTATGACGGCACTACCACAATGACTAGTGTCTAAGCCAAGGCTATGACGGCGCTGCCACAATGACTAGTGTCTTGGCCAAGGTTATGATGGTGCTGCCCCAATGAGTAGTGTCTAGACCAAGGCTATGATGGTGCTGTCACAATGATTGGTGTCTACTCTGGAATCCAATCACGTATTTTGTAAAAAGTGCTACTCGCTTTACACGTTCATTTTGTGTTGCACATGACCTTGAACTTGGTTCTGAAAGATGTAGTTTCTCATGCTCACGAAGTTGTTTTTTTTTTGGTGTTTTTTTTTTTAAATTTTATTCAATGGCTTGACACGTTCTTCGGTGTCAGCATCAACCGATGTGTGTTGAATCCAAAGCTCAAGGCACTGTGTCCAACACGATGGCCTTCCGGGAAAGACTGCACACTATCGTTATGTAGATTTATTCAAGACTTCGGGCCCAACAAAATGGTCTTCCCGTCAAGACCTCATGGAAGCAGTACGCTCTCGTTATGTATATGTGTTGAAGGCATTAATGGATATAAAATCTGGCCGAGAAATAAAATATATAATTTCTCAAGCATTCGGACATCAAAATAAATTAGAATCCCTTGATTGGTTGTTTCTTCCTCTGATTGTGCTCATCAAATGTTTGAAAATGTAAAGACTGTATCAGACATGCTGCAGACCGTTACAGCTGATTTAATGAGATGCTTCAAATTTGCTTTAAAAAATCTGGTGGAGCTCACGTCAGCATTCACACAAAAAAAAAATAAAAAAAATTAATACAATATTTCCAAGGAAACAGTAGTTTCCAGGGGCGCCCGCAGGGGGGGGGGGGGGGAAGGGGGGTCACTTGCCCCCCCCCCCCCCCGGATTGATTGGATACAAAAATGTATACAAAAATAGAAAAAAATGTATTAAAGTAAAGAGAAAATAAAGAGAAAGTAACTAAGCTGATGTCCTGTCGGTTCGTTCACCATGCAAATACGCTACAGTAAATTAAAACTACATTTAAACATTACTAAAAATTTTTGGCACCCCCCCCCCTGGAAAGTTAATCGATTTTTTTGCCCCCCCCCTAGAAAGTTTTCTGCGGGCGCCCATGGTAGTTTCTGTTGCCCATCTATACAGACCAGCTGTTAACATGATGTTTATTAACTAAATTTTCTGTCATTTTGTGAGGCTCCTTGGTTTTTAAAAAAAAAACCCGAGGCGGCGCCCCGATGCACCTTTGCTTGACTACAACGCTGACTCGGGAATTTAATTGTCTGGAGTATCATATTTAAATGAATCGAGGAGGTTCACATGTTTTTATAAAGACAAAATCTAGATCAGTTTTTACTGGAACAAATGTAATTGAAAGACTTAAATGAAAACTTAAAACTATTCATTTTTTTTTTTTTTTACAAAAATTATGAATTTAACAGGTGCACACAAATAGCCTCGTGCCCCAATGCTTAAATCGAACGTTTTGTGTGTGGTTCGTTAAATGTGCTACTTTTGTAACAGTTTCTTTAATAACAGAGTTTGTTTTCTTCTCTTTTTTAATACTTAGGTAATATGAAATTCTTAACTGTATTTCTCTTTTTAATATCAGAATAATAAACAATTTTCCCAACCTTTTTGGACGCATTAAAAAATATATATATTGTTTCGATGGGGAACCAGTAGCAAGCGGAACAATAAAATAAATAAATAAAAACGATTTTGAGAACTAGCATTTGGATTTTTTTTTTTTATATAAATTTTTGGTACTAGCTTTAGAAAAATGTCTTCTTTTAAATAAATTCTATGGATCTGATAACAAAATATAATGTGCTTAAGTATATCGAAGAGCCAATTGGCCATTCATCTGAAGAAATTTATAGTAGTTTGAAATTCGAAATAATTAATTTAAGCAACTGAATGTCGAGAAATGTATACTTTATTTTTATACGATTTACCTCAGAAGTCTTTGGCAGCCTCCATTTCTGCTCCCCCTTTCCCTCGTGCTAATCATTGTAACGATACGAAGTTGAATCAATGCTGGAGCTGAATAATTACCCTGGGGCGCGCACCAACCATTTTATCTACGGCACTGGATGCCATAATGCCTTCCCCATGTGCATGAACCCCAAAAACTTTGGAGAGGTGATTCCGCCCAGACACCCACTTTGCTCAAGAGCCATCGGTGCCCTCAATTTCTCCCCTACTTACCCTCAAAATGACAGTATAGCTGGCGCTGGTCACCATTTTCGGTGCCAACAGATACACTGGTAGTGGAGTAGCTAGTGTTAGTGCCACTCCGGGCGAGCCAAGATTTATGCCGCCATCCCTTTAACGATACAAACTCTGCAGTGTCATAAAATGCCGCCCCTCCACAAAAAGAAAAAGTCACACCTGGGCGGACCACCCCATTTGCAGAGGTATAGCTAGAGAGTTTGGGACCAGGGGAAAGTTTCATTTTTACGCCACCCCTCTCAACTTTGAAACCCATTATCTTCATCCATTAAATACCATCACACCCCATTTTAGCATCCTCGCTAGTTCGGCGAACAGAGAAATCTGTCCCCTCCCCCCCCCCCTTTTAGCAACGCCAGTGGCACTACCCCCTCAACTTTGAAACCCATTATCTTCATCCATTAAATACCATCACACCCCATTTTAGCACCCTCGCTAGTTCGGCGAACAGAGAAATCTGTCCCCCCCCCCCCCCCCTTTTAGCAACGCCAGTGGCACTGAACACCCGATAATCTGACCACCCCACCCCCCGGGAGGAAATTGCCGTATAGTCCGGTTAGAAACACTGCATGTGTGTATGAATGATAAACCAAGGAAGATTTAAATGACATGTAATATTTGTGTCAGTGATTCTTTTAAAATATGTGAGGGGAAATTAGATTGTATTTATCAAAATATGTCGAGGAGTCACATTTGATTAATTATTTTAAGCCTCTGTTATGCATGGATTGTTTTATTAGTTTATAATTACGAGAACTTCTCGGAGAAACCAGTTTAGCCAGCCAGGACAAAAACTCAACTGGGAAATGAAGTCCTATTTTATGCCAGTACTTTGTCTTTGTTGCAGCAACGTAGCCTAACAGAATCAGATTAGAATTTTATGAACAAAAAAAAACATATATTTTTTTACAATACAGCCAGGAGTTTTTAATTTGGTATTTTAACAGTTCAAAGAAAGACTTTTGCTATGTCTAGTTTCAGTGAAATAGCTGTAATAGTCATTAATAAATAAGTCAGTATAGTATATATTCAAACAATTCATAAGATTTGTTCTGTAGTGGTTAATCAATCCTAGATTTTGTAAAAAATCTGATTGCGCATGCGCAGATTAGTCATTATACTCGGAAATAGATTTCTACAATTCGTGATCGCTTCCGAGTTTAGTAGAAGTACTCCCCTCACAAATTATCGATAGAAAACATAATCTATAGAAGGGTAGTTCGATTCAGGGAGCTACAATGGCTCGAGAATATGACCATTTATTTAAACTATTAATTATTGGAGATAGTGGTGAGTAACAGCATCCTAATTACCAATATTTTGACTTGCAATTGTTAGCAAATTTGTTAAGTAAGCTTAAAATGATAGTAAAAGAATAGTACTAACTGCTAACTAGTCTAGCTTATTAAGTTACTAACTAATAAACTAGCTAGTTATTAGTCTTAATAGCAATAAAAACTGAGGCCTGTTTATTTATATTTAAATTGTTCATATTCATTGCAAACCTTTGCTTAGTGCTTAGTCTTGCTTTCAGGACTTAAAACTAACTACTAATAATAGACTAATACTAACTTATAGTCATCGTCAGTCAGAGTGCGTGAGGCTTTTAATTTTAAAAGATAACCCACTAAGCCTACTTTGTCTTGAATCAGACTTAGTACAGTTATAGGCCTGACTCTAACTTAAAACTTACTAACTTACCAACCACTTAGACCCACTTAATTTAGTAGGCTACAACTTAGAACAGAATCATGTTAAAATTACAAGCCATGGGCTCCCAAAATCAAAACGAACCAGCCTACCAAACTGGCTTATACCCATATACTCTGCTAAACTAAAAATCTTAGCTTATTTAAATTAATCATTATAAGTTGGCACTAGATATCTAAAAGTATGAAGTGCCAAGGTAGGGCATACAAGCGGTAAATTTTGGATTAACAGTGTGGGTTTTGCCAAGAGTTTTCTCACCCTAAGCGCAGTGACGTCACTTTGGGGAATCCCAACACTGGGCTTTGGGTGAAATGACCAATTATTTGTAGAACCTGAACAATGTATGTGAAAACATTTCTGTTCTTTACTTAGCATTATTCGTGTCATAAACAATTGACAATATGGTTAATATAAAGTATAGTAAAATTAAATTTTCCATTAATTTGTGTTAAAATTCAACGTACACTTTTTCAAAATAAAGGAAAGGAGGAAACACATCCTTGCTGATACCCCAAGACGGAACACCCGCGAAAAAAAGATGCAGGCCAAAAGGGCTGTCTTTTGATTAGTTGAAAATCAAAATGCCGTATGTGGCAGCTTTGGTACCAAAAGGGAGATTACTGCTTAAATTGCATTTGGAATGATATTCTTGACCTTACCGCCAAGGGGTCGTTAGCAAATTACGTCATGCAAAAAATTACCTTTTTAGACCCCCCCCCCCGGTCACAAAGTGTCACTAATTCTTTACCCCCACCCCTTAGTGTCACGTCACACCTAAAAAATCAAAACATTCACATTACCTATAATACCTGAGGCAATTTCGACCTCAAATTTATGTTTTTAAAATTAATTAAATTAATTGAATAAAGATTTTTCAAAATTAAAAAATTTTAGATTAAAAATGTAAAAAAAAAAAAAATGGTGGCGTGCGTCACAAATTTTTGATCCCCATTCCTCCCCCCGTCACAAATTCCTGAAACCAAACACCCCCTCCATACATGCCAACCTAAAAACCTGGAAATGCGTTTATGCGAGGGGGAAAGGGGTAACCTCTGGTTATCAATACCTCTAGCTTTCCTATATTTATTGGATCTATTGTTTAGGTTTAGTCAAAGTGAGCTATTGGGCCTATATGTCTAAGTATACATCTGACTACTCGACACTAAAGTCACAAATGCATGCCAGTTCAATTGAACAAAAATAAATGAAGTTTTAAAAATTGCTTTGACATAGTACTTTGAGACCTTAATTAGATTAACTTGATATCTTGTGTTTTTGATGAACTCTTTCCACAGCTTTTAATATAATCACACTTAATCTTAAAGAATTATTTTTATATTTCACATTCCAGGTGTTGGGAAGAGTAGTTTACTATTGCGATTTGCAGACAATGTATTTTCAGGTAAGTTATTGCACTTTCTGTTAATAGAAGTGTGGCAATGTGCCACTTTTTGTAAACTGCATTTTGATAACATTTTTGTATGTGGCTGGGTGCCACCTATGGGACAAAGAAAACACACTCCTGTGACATGATTTTTTATCCATGTTCACAGTCACTGACCTGGGCATACCTGTCCCACAGTGAACTGGTAAACAGCTCGTGACGTGGACATCATTTTTAGACTACATGAGGCAGTGTGGATTTAAACCCGGGGACTTTTTGTTATTTCTGAGCTTTTTACGAGTAGTCAGCTGTGTCTGATACTGAGTGAATACATTTTAGCTATTTTGTGTGAGAACAGATACTTCGAGTCGGCTGACATGTGAGAGATTTGACTGTCAACGGATTGTACCTGAAGAATATAAAGCTATAGTCCTCAGGCCTGATTGTTAGTTTGTGATTTTTAAACTGTAAGCCACACACCATACAGTTTAAGAAGAAAAATGTTCTTATTATTTAATAGAATGCAGTGGATTCATCTTTGTCTCTACCAGGAAATGTCATTATCATCAGTGTAGACACAACATCAGCTAGTAGCTCCAAATTATTGCAAATATTTTTTTTTTTTTTCAAAATTTTAAAAATTTGACCTTCTTTGCATGTCAAAATGATTGAGGCTCTATTCCATGATATGATGAGTCCCCAGGTGGTGTGTGAGTCCTATTTACGCCTGGAAAGTTTGCCCACATGTAGGACACAGGTTTTTTGGGGTCCAAGTGGTATTGGAGGCAGTTCTGCTTTTCCTTAAAGTGCGATTTAATTTGGGCATAAGCGGTGCAATTACATTCTGATGAGTGTGCTCCCATGAGTCTGCCGCACCAGCTTGTGTCCCATGACTGTACATCAGTTGTTAAGCATGTTGTTATCTGGCATGCTCGCAACACATCCATCCCATCTGTATTGTCCTTTTTGTAAGAATTTGTGGATGCTGAGAAAGTCTAACTGTTGTAGGACTTCAATAGCATGCACTTGGTGTCCTGTTGACATATGCCAAGAAGCTTACGTAAATAGCATAGGTGGAGATGGTTTAGTTGTCTAGCAAGTCTGCTGTACACTATCCATGTCTTGCTGACATATAAGAGATTTTTTAAAGTTTTATTGCCCTATATACCTTCAGCTTGGTAATAAGTTTGAGACCCCTTCCCTCTTAGACACTCTTTCAAAGTTTTCAAATACGGTTCGGCATTTGCTTTTGCAATTTTATTGTTGATCTTAACTGTAATGTCTGTAGAAAATAGGTTTTAGCACAAATTGTATTTATCTTAATTTACTAAACACAGAGAATAATATGGGAGAAGATTGTAATCAGGTTGTAAAATAAGGTAACAATGGAATCAATTACTTTTGCGTCTTTGAAAAAGACTTTTGGTCAGCATTTTTGTTGTCATTTTTAAAGTTGTCACTTGTCATATCACATACAGTGGGGTTCTCATTTCCTTAACTAAAATCCTTAAATAAGTTATAATTTAAGTACGAAATTAATTTTGAAATGCGTGAGTGGACCATGTATGGAAAAATGAGCCTGTGTTGTCTGGTGTTTATAAAACCTGATAGCTTTGAGAGATACTAATTTACTAAGAAACATTACACCAGACCTGTTTACCCTCAAACTCTTAAAATCATACAATATCATCACAAAATCGTTCAATACATTATCTTAAAAAATAGACATACAGTATATATAATGTATAGACCTCAAAATCATACATTGTACGCCAAAATCGTAAGAGTAAACTGGTCTGTTACACATTTCACAACACAGATCATTTGATGATAAGCAAAAATTTGCCACTATCACCAATGTTCCCTCTAAGGTTTGCTGGTTCCTGTGCAAAATCATACAGTTGTGTACAAAGTTTTACAGCATCAATTTTTTTGTGTGCAAAATTTTACAACCCACAAACACAACCACACACTTACATGGAAATTTGCTGCGTGGAAAAAGGAAACATTGACCATCACCTGTGATACTTTAACTGGTGTAAAATTCTCGAACCAGTCATCCTGATAGAACCGTATTTCATTTTTCAACATTGCCATGATATTAGGATACTCTTTTAAAAGATTAGGATGCATTTCATTGTAAAACTGCTTGTATAACCTATCATTGCTTTTGCTTAATTTTTTAAATAATTTGGATAAAGATTCAGTAAGATTTCATAACAGTCATCAGACAAATATTTCATTTCCTTTATTAATGCAGGTACATACATCACGACTATAGGTGTAGATTTCAAAATCAGGACAATTGAGGTCAATGGGGAACGGGTAAAATTACAAATATGGGACACAGCTGGACAAGAGCGTTTCAGAACAATCACATCAACGTAAGTGTGCATTTGATCAACATTTATTTAATGTGTGTCATTATAAATACTAAAATAGTTACAACTTATTGTAAATAAAACGTTGAGGGAGTATTGTCCATTTTTGTCGTTGTGTCTTTATTAAAGCTTGACCCCGGCCTTATGAGCCTTCAATTCATTTAAGGTTTACCTGATGGGTTATACATTCAGTGTAGTTGAGGCATACACATTTTTAAAAAAATAATGTTTATTGAGTTTGTATGCTTATTTCATTAAACTTGTAAATGGAGATTTCAAAAATTTCGGATATCACTGAAACAAAATAGATGTGTTAATTTTAAATTATCACTAGGGCTACCCCCACACCTATGTCACCTATGATTTCTGGAAACCAATGTCTGTGAAAACCAATTTTAGTGAGAGCACTGTCTTTTTTCCGATGCTTATTTATCTAAAAGCCGTTCATATAAAAGTCTACAGTAGAGAAGTACAAAAGCATAAGATTGTTTATCTCATTATCATTCACTAAAAGTATAATACTGAAGAAATATTAATGTTGTATCCTCCAAGTTTTAATGGGGGTTTTGGTGGACTTTTTAAAGCAATGGAATTGGGTTGAAAACAATTGTTTCTAAATGCACATAACAGTGTGTGGAAAGTTGTGGTTTGGGGGGGGGGGGGCAGCTACAATCAGGACCCATCATATTTTTAAAAACATACATATCTCAGATATCAAATAAAGTAGCCTCTTATTGTGTCAGATTATTTTGGGTAAAACATTTCTCATAGTTTTGTGTGCAAGACCTAGTTGGATACAGCTATATAATATAGATATGCATCGCTTTGACATTCAATTGGCCTTCAAAAAGTTGGGGGGGGGGGGGCAGCTACAATCAGGACCCATCATATTTTTAAAAACATACATATCTCAGATATCAAATAAAGTAGCCTCTTATTGTGTCAGATTATTTTGGGTAAGACATTTCTCATAGTTTTGTGTGCAAGACCTAGTTGGATACAGCTATATAATATAGATATGCATCGCTTTGACACTCAATGAGCCTTCAAAACAGCAAGCAGCCTTCTCTCTCATATCTATTAAAAAATCTTTACATGAGATATTTGTGTCATAATATGTAAACGTTATCTATGGACTTATCTAAAAAGAAAAATGTTTTGCTGTTTCATTTCCATAAAGTGTTTTGTTTCTTTTTTTGTATAAAAAATAAAGTCAAAATAATATATTTTTTTCCTGTGTTAATGAAGTTGTTACACAAACAGGTTCTTATATTAAGGATTTTATTTGCTATAAGTTGTTTATTAGTGTCATGTAACTGATTGGCGAAAATTTGTCTGGTCTATCCTGTGTTTAAACAGGATACTCGGTATGCCAATTTAGTTGGAGTAGCAGGAAGTAAAAATCTAAATGCTTTCATGCTATGCATTGTTAACTTTGTATGGATATCTAGGAAGTAAGCCATGGCCATAAGCTTGCATACATGAAAGACTTTTGTCAATCCTTTATCAATCATATCTATTTTAGCATCATTTTTCCACATTACAAATCTTTTAGTAGAACTTTTAGAGAGTATCATAGTACACTTGTAATCTGCTGTTTTTGAAATTTGTTTAGTTAACCTTTGACAAGAGCTTGTTGCAGTTGTGTATACCATTACCATTCATGAAAAGATAACTGTGCACACTTATTACAGATGTGTTTTGGAATTTGGCCCCAGGAGCCACATGAGCTTTACACACAAAAAAATTAAGTGGGAAAAACTACTTCATGAGCTCCTTGGATAAACTCATTATTTAGATACTCTGAAATAGTTTTCTAAAAAATAAGTCTTATTCTCAAGTTTAAGCTTTAATGCCTGCCATTGTGGGAGTTTATCTACAGCGACACTGTCTAGTACCTGAATGATTCTGTAAAGCTCCTCTGCCCTTTGGCAGTTAAGAAATGATGTAACTATGTGCCTGCACATTTGTATAAATGCTTTGCTTCTCATATACTGATCCCAATACTTATGTATGGCAGAGTCTCTATTTATAAAATTGAGAAGTACTTGGAGGAATTAATAAATCCATTTTTTATATGTTTAAAATGCACAAAATGTATGCAAACAATAAATGGTGCATTGATACCAATTTTTTATTTTCTTTTTAGCGTTAATCATATAAGCTCTAAAAATAAACATTTAAGTCTTGTTGTATTGAATGATTTATTGATAGTAATAAAGCCTCTGTAGGTAACTTGTTTACTAAGTGTAACTGTCTTCCCCATATTATCTCAGCCACATAAAGCTGCTTTACCCCAAACCTGTACTTAAATGTTCTTAACAGATTTCGGCTATGCATATTATTGCATTTGTTTAGGACAACATGAAATAACTAAAATGGGATTGTATACTGAAACTTTTTAACTAACCCGCAACAAACTGGTGTCTAGTCAAAATAATACAGTTATTATTTAACATTCAGTATATTTTATTTAGCAGATTGACATGGTGTGTGGTTGTGATCATGTGTCTGTATCATGAGTTGATGAATAGTTTTGTGAGAGCTGGTCATGTCCCCTAGTCGGGATATGCAAGGTTAATAAGCTAGTGAGGTGTTTAAATGCTGGATGAACATGGGGCAAGACTTGAGGTCTTAGCTATTTGGGGAGTTCTAAAGTTAGTTATTGTTTTAGTGCTAGAGGTGCAAGTCATCATTGGCCATTGTGCAGAGCGTATTGTTGATTTTATAGATGATGTTTTGTGAACTTATCCAGTGCGCCTGTGTAAATTTATTTAACTTTAGTATTTTCAACCTGGTGTTTTTATTGCTTGTTATCATCCAGAGTGGATGGGAGGACAAAAATATACCCAAGAATTGTGTTTTTCACCAAGACAACATATATCCTATTAAAATGCCCATTCAGTAAAAAGGCTTACTACTGAAGTTTGCTACGCAATTAACTCGTCATATGGAGAACGTTCGCTACACATATTTTTTAGCAAATGTAACAGTGGAAACAGATTAAGAATTTTATTTGAGCAGCTGTCGTCAGTTACATGTAATTCTTCAAACCAAGATGATCTACTCTGATAATTAAAACATTGAAATTATGCATTCATTGGTAACTGCATTTGCTGTTTTATAAATGGTCAGGCATTTGAAGCAATGCTGGGGTTCGGAGGGCTGGTCACTTGTTCCATTCTACAGAACACTTTTATGGTGACTCTTCTGTGTGTGTAACAGTAACTTCATTCTAAAACTTAATTCTCCTACTTAATGTGGATCACATCATTTCTGTGTACCATCTCCAGATACTACAGAGGAACACATGGAGTGCTTGTCGTCTATGATGTAACAAGTGGGGAATCATTTGCTAATGTGCAAAGGTGGCTTCATGAAATTGATCAAAATTGTGATGTTGTCAATAGAGTATTAGGTAAGTGAATACCATGTCTAAAGATACGATCTTACATATTTTATTATTGAAGTTTAATGTGCTCTATAGGTGGAACTCACAGCCAGTCCACCATTTTATCGTTTGGTCATTTTGTTTGAAGCAATGATGTCATCAGGAAAAAGGAGTACCTGTAATCAACCATAGAAAAACAAACAGTTTTCATTATTATTTAAAAGAATAAAATAAATCTGTTAGCTAATTGTAAACTCTATTGATAAGTATAATTTAACATCTAATAGCCACTAGGTTTTAAAAAGGACCATTATTGTTACCACAGTAATTGTGGTTCAAGACAGGCACGAACATAACTTGTATTAGTTCATGCTGTACCATGAAAATTATATTTTGTCGTATAGATATCAATAGTAATCAATGTTTAGGTTTTTGCACCTACCAGCAGTAGTCAGTGAAAAAAGAAATGTTATTTTTTAACATGACAAACAAATATCATGTTTTAACCAACTTTTGAACAAAAGTTTATAAACTTTAGTATAATATTTTGTGATAAAAAGTAATTAAAGAATAGATAATTAACTAGTCATTTAGCAGGTGATGGGGTGCAAGTTATGAGCAGTTCAGGCTGTTAAATGCATTTGATGTTGTGTTATTTAAGTGGGGAACAAAGACGATGACCCAGACCGGAAAGTGGTTCTCACACAAGATGCCCAAAGATTTGCAGAGCGTATGCAGATTCAACTCTTTGAGACAAGTGCAAAGGAAAATAAAAATGTAGAAGAGGTATAGTAATGATTTCCATTGCATTTGTTTGAACTTGATAAATATTTATGTATTAAAATAGTTATCATAAAGTTGATTCCTCTTACATAAAAAATTAATAGTAGCATATTTTATTTGAAATGATTAAACTTATATTTAAAGTAATTTGTTTTCTTTTTCATTCCTGTGTCAATTAATATAAATTATCAAGTTCTTTGTCATTGGTAATGGCCGATATCTATTATTTATTTGGATCAATAATAGCATCTGGTCTTACCTTATGTTTGAAAAAAAAAATAGAGAACCAATAACTAATATTTTTTAAGAGGAATCTACTGTTTGTCTTGATGTTGTTTTGACGTTGTGCTTACCCGAATGGCTTATTTTTGTCGAATCACGATGTTCTTCATTATTTAGTTATTTGGGTTATTTGAGTTGGCTTTGAGGATTTTTAAAATTTTCACCCACCCACCCTGTATTTAATAAATAAGCACAAATTTAATCACAAAGTTATTTTGATTTGCCTGGAATTTAAAGATCGGAAGCATTATTTTATTCATGCCAAATTTACATTGATTTCTCTTATTTAAAAAAAAAATGGTTTATGAGGCATGATGCAAAATTAATGTGTTTAGCCTGATACAATATAACAGTATTTGAAATTTCTAGACTTGGGTTTCATACAGAAAAAATATGAAGCTGTAAAAATTGCTGGCTCAATTATTTTGAAAAAAAAAAATCTGTGGCGTTGTCTGAGGTTTAGTAAATATGAAAAAAAAAAAATTCTGTTTGGGGTTTTACTTCTTCACGTGTTATATACAACATACATTAAAATAATTGTTTACTGGTTATGGCTGATTTTAGAATGACAATCTTAAGTATAAAAAATTTCAGGCTAATATGCACAGATTCCTTGTCTTAATTAAAGAAACAATATTAATATCCTACAAAATCCCTGCAGTCCCTAACTTTGTATAAAAAAAAAGTTGCACTTTATTCACCTTATTGGTTGCCATTTTGTTAATTTTAAACCCTTACCTTTTTGTGGCTTTTGACCATTTTTGTTTCCTTTTTTCCCCCGTGTTTCTATGACATGCAGATGTTTAAAGCTATCACCAGGCAGGTTTTGGATACCAAGAAAAAACAACAGCGTGAAGCCCAAAAATCCAGTGACAACACAATACAACTGAGTGCAGGGGGTGCCAAGAAGAAGAAAAAATGCTGCTAGCCTTTGGCTAGATATTAGAATGTAAATCCACCTCCACTTAAAATTAAATAACACCTAGATTCTTTCTGAAAGGGAAGGATTTTTTTCACTAAGCAATTGGTTACTAACATTTACTGACTGCTGTGGAATATATAACATAATAATAATGTTTATTTTTCTAACAATTTTAATCTTGGCAATTATTAGTCATTATGATATGACATTCTAAAAAGATATAAAAAAAATTATAACAAAATTATATTATTTAAATGGTTTGCTTAATCATGAGTGAGAACTAAAAGTTATTTTCCATGATTTGTTTTAACTCTTATCCATTTGAATGAAAAGTACATTAAGTATGGTTGTTTGATACAATAACATGGCCTGTTACATCTCTGCACTTTTTAATTTATCCACCACAACTAACTCAAGGTAGTTACGTTAAGGATAAATGGCATGCTTAAATGTTTCATACATAATGTCCAATGTACCATACTATTCATGATAATATTTAATGCTAATAGAGACAGAAACATTGTTTTACTTTCAATAGTCAATACAGAGGCTAAGACTAGTTTTATACATATTCAAGCTGGTGGCCTGTGCCTGCAGGCTGATAGATTTGCTCCAGCTGTTGGTTAGTTTCTAAAGAATGATTTAAGAATTGCACACTGATATTCACTGGTTAGAGTTTTAATGATGTGTGACACATTTTATAGATTCTTTTGAAATGCATTTAACTTGGTGATGGCTGCTGTTATTTTGGCCAGCTTATTCAATTGAAATACTTTATGTTTTTGTATAAAAAAAGTGTTGTTTAGCATAGTAAAATACAAACAATACCTCCTAGAAGCATTGCACTTTGAGGAAATTGATTCCCTTTGTAATAAATAGTTCCCATTTGTTGTTATTAACATGAAATAAATTTCAAATGTTAATATGTTTTATTTAACACAATTACTCTTTTAAGAGATTTTTTCACATGCTTGAGAAATTTCATTGTAAACTACTACATTTATCATCTATATGTTTTAACTGATAATGATTAAGAATCAGCTTCTAATATAGTTTTCCATCACATTTACCAGCACAATTTGTTCCCCCATACTCTGCTACTCAATCTGAACCATTTATTTACTGGGATTCATCTTTATTTTCATCATAAATTTTTATATATCCATTTCTAACCACCTTTTTTTCCCCCTCAGATGTTTATGGCAATAACCAAACTGGTCCTAGAGTCAAAGCGCAAGATGCAGGAAGAAGCCAGGAAGCCCCCTGCCAACACAATACGTGTAGGAGCCAACGCAGGGAAGCAGGCCAAGAAAAAGTGCTGTTAACCTTTGGTTTATGCCACTAATTTAACCAATTCAGTTTGTCTTCTTACTTTCACACAAAACCCTGGAATGTGCTAATTTAATCTGCTGTAAACTTTCAATATTATTTTTATGCCACAATTGGGAATCTTTTTTTTTTTTTTGTTGTTGTTGCTTATGAGCCGAAGGAAAATGTTCACTAAGTAGATTTAAAAAAAAACAACAGTTTTTTGTTGTTGTTGCAGCATATTTTATTAGCTCAAACCTATATTTCTCATTTAAATGAACTGCTGTATCCATTCTTTGAAACCTTTAATTGCTTCAGTAGACTCTGACAAGATACCACTTGGGATCAAAATGAAATACAAATTAATGTCTTAAAGTAATGACAAATGTTTCATCTCAGTCAGGTCAGTTAGATTCCAAATATTGCCGAAAGTTTTCAAGCAAGTCTACTCACTGGATGATACCGTTCTTAAAATAATATTAACTACCTATGTTCATGCTATCTCTAATAAATTGCACAGAATTCTGACATAAAGTGTGTAGAAATGTGGAGGATACTATCTAAAGGACTGAACCATAGCTGTAATTGGTGCGATGAAATTTTATGAATAATAGACTAATAATTTCTCTTGTGATTGATATTTTTGAGAACCACTTATCAATAAAACTTTTAATCATAATTGAATAAACATTTAATACTCATTTTTTAAAAATTACAACTTTTTCTGGGGACATTCAATTCTGTCATCTAATTATGTTTGATACATTTGTATAATGAAAACAAAACAATACTTTTGTTTGTGATGATTTTGTCATGATGCTAACCAATTAGAATATAACTTGATTTTGCCAACTTCAGACACAGGAGAAGTCACATGAATATGCATATCTTACAATTAAATAGACTGAGAATACTTAGTTTCTATTTATGTCTGAGAATACTTAGTTTTTATTTATATAATATACCTTCACATAAGCATCTGCAGATGGAGTCTACTGCAAGCTGTGTCCCATTACCATATGGTGACCTTAGTTTCACACCATTAGTTCTGTCATTTATTAGTGCCCTTGTCTTCTTACTGGCAGTTTATTGTGATATGCCATGACTTCTGTTAAACAGTGGTTTTGAACTTATCGATCCCCACACTTGTCCGTCAGCTTGGGATTTTAAAATTAATTTCATGTTGCCTATTTCCTAAGGCTTGTGGGGAATTTGATTATTGTGGTAGAAGCTTGCAAGGAAGCCTTGTGCATAGTAAACCTTTGGTTCAGAACTGCTGTCTTTAGATCAAATGTGTATAAATGTTTAGCATTTAACTGCCTTTGTGTGGCCAGAATTTGCTTGAAAACTATTATTTTTGACCTGCAGAAATGTTATATATATATATATATATATATAAATATACATATATATGTTGAATCAAGTAATATAATTGTTTGAAATACTTGTTTTTTTTTTTTAAAGTGTAGACTGCAAGTCTCATGAGTGAGTAAGTCTTTTAGGTTAGTATGTTAATGTAATTTTTAAAAATGTTTATCGACAAAGCCTCTTGACTTGAAGAACAGAATTCTGTTCAGAATTGTGCTTTTGCATGCAGAAACCAACAAAACATAACATGATTTTCACATGAAACATTTTTAATACATTATTTTTAACAAAACTGATGTACAAAATTATTTGGGGATTTGCTTGAACCCCTGTAAGACATAAGTGTTTGTCTCAACTGAGGTAGGGCTGATGTAGTCAGCTGTAGCTCCGTGGATTTTTATTTAAATTTTATCGTGTATGGTTTAATAAATGTTGTTACATACACAGAAATGACTCAGTGATTTAAGATGCATGCATGGGTCCCCAACGAATCAAGCATATCACAGGGGATAATACATTACCGCATTAAAAATTGTTAGCAAAAACTATTTTGTCCTTCCTTTAAGTTGAAACAAAGAAATGATTTGCTTCAAATTATTCACTAAAAAAGAAAACCTTATTACTAAGGACAAAATGTAAATTCCTTTATGATAGAGAGCGAAATAGATTTTAAATATACAAAAATTACATTTCTGTGTGAGGGAAAATTGTGAATGTACAAAACTTTACAGACTGGAGGCATTCAATGAATCACACACACAAAGGAATGGCTTCAAACAAATGGTTTCAAAGAAGATTTGGAATAGTCATTATAAATAATGTTTACTTTCATTTAATGATTTTAATAACTGCTAAACATAGGGCCCCCCCTCCTCTGCCCTCATCTTTTTTAAAGGGAGGTAACAGTCTAAATTTTCTCACCAATTATGGCCCTATGAAGTTGGGAATAAAGGGTGGGGTAGGGGAGAGAGAAAAATATATTTAGTTTTTGTGTGATTGATGTTTTTGGCCATTGCATTTAGCCTGCAGGTATGTTTGAGGAAGGAGAAGCCCCAGTGTAGATAGTATGTGTACATAATCATTAATTGTTCAATGGCTGGTCCAATGTTTAGGAAAAGCAATAGAAATGTTGTCTGTTGATTTACTCATGCTATCAATCAAGGAGAGGTAACTGTTTTAACTATAAGTTAAACTATCAGTTATAGTATAGCTTCTCAGAGATCTCCCTGTCTTATTCTTTGAGATGAACACAAAAGACCCGATTGGGAAAACACAATGAATGTTGCTTCTGTTAAAAAATTGTTGTTTGACTAAAAAAAATAATTGTAATTTATCATTGCTTGGACCAACTGGGAGGTGTTATTTTTTTTAAAAAATTTTTTTTAGTAGGTGAAGTATAAGATATTTATATTATGTTGAGCTCAATGAGTGAATGACCTGTAACATGTGGAGGAGTGACAGAGGAAATAACTGTAGGATTGAATCTTTTTTTTTTGATAACCATTCAGTTGTTGGGTGTTTTTTGTTTTTTTAAAAATTGTTTTATTGTAAAATGTAACAATTGTCTTAATTTTCAAAGTTTGATAATTTTTATCAGCTCTTTCTTTGCTCACATGGAATTCATTCAAAAAATTAAATCTGTGTTTGGTTGTAACTTACTCTATGACAGGACAGAATTGCTATATTACTATTAATGTTATGGCCTTGTTCAAATAAGATTTTTTCTTTCCACCTGTTAAGTTTATGTAAGTCATTTGCGAGGGCTCGACCTGGATGTTGAGGATCAAGCTCTTTTAATGAGAATGTATTAATTTCAATTAAGAATATTACTTATCCTTGTCTAATGCACAGTTTATTTTTTTGCTCACTCCCCATTTTAACTTTATTTAAATTAAAGTGAAGAATAAAAAGTCTGGATGAAACATTGAGGTTAAAAGGCTGTAGTGATGGAATAGCTTTTGATGCCTCCACTGCTTTCCTGTTGATTTGTTTTATTTTTTCCTCTTCCAGTCATTAAAACAAAAGAACTACTATTCATTTCTGTTTACATGCTAGATAGCTGTAGGTCTAATCGAGTAGTTCAGATAGAGCAAGTTTGCAATGTTGTTAATCTTAGGTATGGCAGAGTCAGTGTTTCAGTTTGATTTATTATATCTTTTTCAATATTGTTTAGTGGATAGGTGGAACTATAAAAATAGAACTGCCTTGGTTGACTTTAATTTTGTTTTAAAAATCCTGTTAGTCTTAAAAGTTTTTTTTTTTTTTTTGCTGTGGACTAAGGAGACCATTTTCTAAAGATATTAATTATGAGTTTTGAAATAGTTTTTTTTTTTTTTGCATGGCTTAAAAATTATATGTCATCAAAGTTCCAAATTTAGCCTTATTAATATTTTTTTTTTTTTTTTGTTGTGTACTTAGGATTTTATTTTTTAAAGATATTAATTATGAGTTTTGAAATAGTTTTTTTTTTTTTTTTGCATGGCTTAAAAATTATATGTCATCAAAGTTCCAAATTTAGCCTTATTAATATTAATTGCTTTGTTTATTAAACAGATTATTATTTCATACATTTTTAAATGTGGCCCTTAATTTATTTGTGAATGTTTTTAAAACTGCTTTCTATCAATAATAAGTCACATTCCAAGTACTGATAGTTAAATTATGTTGTAATAACAATCAGAGATCATACATTTTCAATATGAAATCATATTGTCTAGAAGTGAATACATAGATTTAATTATGTTCTCAGACAGTTGAGCTTTAAAAAACATTAACATGTTTAATATAATAATCTGTTGAATTCAAGTGGGAACTGAAAATAATATTTTGGGGGAATGCACATTTTTTTTTATTCATTTAAGAACCAAACTGACATGATTTATTTGTAGTCCATCTAGGAACAAAAACAAAAAAAGTTAGTTTAAACTCAATGGAAATGTTAAGAAAATTTTGAGATTTTGACTAATGGTTAAGGACTATTTGCTAACATTTGCATTATAAACCAAAAAGAAGAGGGGGGGGGGGCCGGCTATAAAATATAATATTTCCATCTGAACTTTGGGTGTCAAAAGGAAATGATAATAACATTCTAGTTCTATTATACAATTGTAATAATTAAAAAAATTAAACTCAATGGAAATGTTAAGAAAATTTTGAGATTTTGACTAATGGTTAAGGACTATTTGCTAACATTTGCATTATAAACCAAAAAGAAGAGGGGGGGGGGGTCGGCTATAAAATATAATATTTCCATCTGAACTTTGCGTGTCAAAAGGAAATGATAATAACATTCTAGTTCTATTATACAATTGTAATAATTAAAAAAATAATTTCTAAAAGAAGCTTAGTATTTATCATTTGAATGTTTTCATATTTTACTTTATTTACATTAGTTGGTCATTTAAAGTGTGTGGTTGATTCCATTGGTGTAAATATTATTGTTCTGTCATGAAAGATGGTGATGTTGTCCTGCAGCTGTTTTGATTTGGTGCTGCATTTGTGGCCTGTCTTGTCTGTAATGCTTCTCAGCTTAACAGTAGTCTTTTGAACATTTCTGTGATTCTCTCCTCAATGCTGGGCCCCATTTTCTCCTATTTTTATATTTATTTCTTTTTTTAAAATTTTGCATGTTTCAAAACATGACACATCTTTTGGTGCATAATAATACAGTAAAGCGTGTGAATAAGTCTTACTCTATAGAGGCGAGTAATATATGGGCATCATTTCTGTCTGATTTAATATTTCTGTTTAAATGTTTTACTTTAAAAACTTTACCTGTCTGTCCCACACCCCCCAAACATTTGAAAACTGATTGACTTAAAATAGCATAATTTTCTAGGTTCATTTTTTTATTAACCTTAAAATCATGTACAACAAAAAGCATTCCTTAAATATAATTTGTGTTTTAAGATCTAGATAGCATGAATTATGTTTTGAGTATAATTTGTTAAACATGATTACAAATTTATCGCAAAATATGTCTGTTTGCTTCATTAATTTAAAGCTTTTTTTTTTTTTAATGCTTTGAAGATATCATCTGGGCTATTGACCAGTGAATATGGTCAGTCTATCACTTGAAAAAAAATCATTTTTCTGACTCATTACTTGTTGACCTTGGCTTAGTGAGAACTTAAAACTCCTGAGTGAAGAATCTTAATGACATTTGATATATGTATTTGATGTGCCATGAAGTCAGCTCCTTTTGAATCCTTTCAAAGTTAGTGAAAGATTAAAGGTTCAAGAAATGCAATACATATATATACTTAGTGTAGCTATGGAATGCTATTCAAAATCAATGTCAATAAATTATATGATTCGGTTTCAGCTTCAAAAATGTGTCTAGCTGTCTCTATTTCAGTCATACCTTAGAAAATACAAAAATAATGTTATTGTGATTAATTTTTATTTTATTTGCCCATTATTTTAGTCATGTAGTGAATTGAAGATGGGTCACAAGCACACAATATTATTGACCATTTAAATTATTATTAACAAAACATATTTTAAAAAAAATTACATTAAATTGTTTTCTTTTTTTTAGTACCGGTATTAATAGTGTAAATGATTTGTAATAACAATAGGATAAAATGTTAGTATAATTTAGTGTTTTCTACATAGAAAAGATGTGTACAAAAGTTATATGATGTTCAATGGTAACAAAAGGCAATGAAATGAATAAAAATAATATCTTTTAAAAAAAAATTGCTGTCTTTCTTAAATAAAAAAAATGTTTTGATTCTTAATATTTTTACCATGAAGACAAATATTTTATTGTAAAATTGAAAGAAAAAAAACAACCCATAAATAATCATTATTTATTTCATCTATCATTTTTAAGTAACCAGATGTTTCCAGTTGTTAAACCATTATTTTCAATTTGGCACGTTCTTGGCAAGACATACTCGGCAACATGTTCAAGTTGCTTTTGTATTGGGTGATTCTTGAAAGAATATCTGCCCGGATCACCAATCAAAACTGATGCATTCTTATGCCTTTGTAGCCATGTTGCAATTAAATCTGTAAAAAGTGGATCATAAAACATGTCCCCTATTAATATGAAGTCAAACTGTTCGTCAAGAGAGGATGAAAGACGATTAGAGGTATCAGTTGTGACCTGCAAAGCGTTGGCCTCCATGTTGATTTCTATAGCAACTTCAGCAACTGAAAAAAAACATGGTCATTGTTGTTACTAAATAATTATTTTGAAATGGAATGATTGGGAAAATAATTTCATTAACAGTTAAATCAATTTACAATTCTTAAGAGGTATACCGGGTACTGTAGATTATTTTCATTATCATTAATGATGCTGCGAATGAATAATAACCTTTTTTATTACAATTTTTCACCTGGATCAATATCATTTGCTACAACTCTGGAAGCACCAACTAGTTTAGCAGCTAATGCTGTAGAACCGCAACCACTTCCAACATCTAATACTGTAGTTTTGTAGAATAATTTAGGGTTGTCCAGAATGTATCTGAAAAAAAACAAAAACTAATTTCAATATAATGATAATAATTCTAACACTAAATTATTTTTCTTACACTGCGCACCGTGTCTTGAGAGGAATAAGTATACATATTTTTCATTTGGTAGTGTTTCAAACAAAACTTAAGAGATATGGTAAAATTTACAAGTCTGATCTTGAAGAATAAAAAAATAAAACACTATCCCTAAGAGAAACTTTCTGTCATAAAATTTAGGAACATCCCATGTCAAAGATTGCAATGTTTAGTTAAACCTTCACTACATATTTTAAATATATTTTTTTAAGCATTCTGAAGAGTGTTAAAGTAGTTTAAAAGTCTTTAAATTTAATGACTGCATTACCTACACTATTTTTAATGGTAATTCTCTTTGAGCCAAACCCTAGTGTAAACATAAATCTTGTAACCTCGTTAGGACTTGCCCTCCTGGCCAGAAAAATGCCCAAAATGGATCGTCAAATGGGCTTCGGTCTGGACTAGCATTCCATAGTAAACAATCAGGTGTTATAAGCCTAAGACAAAGTTCTGGTGTCAGGTGATTCCTAGTCAGCTTTGTGTGCTGTCTTATGAGCTTTTGTATAAAAAACTTATTCATGGGTTACTTTATAAACTGGCTATATATACATCTCCTTCACATTGTCTGGGGAACAAGAAGAAACAAGCATTTTTAAAAAGGAGCAAAATAAATGCCACATAAAAAAAAAACCTTCAAATTATTTTATTTGTTAAATCATTTGATACAGTATTAATTAATTTGTTTTAAATTTAAGTAAGAGTATGAAAACTCTATCCACAATGTCAGAAAATCAATCTATATTACACCCATTCAGTTGGTTTTATTTCATTTTACATGTCTTTGAAAAAAATCATTTAAAGAGAATCACCAGTGTGGAACCTCTCTTTGGCATCTTTAAACTTAAACACAAATTCTATGGAGTGATCATAAAATTATTCTCTTATGGCATATGACAAACTCATCAAGAGAATGAATTTCATCAGGGCTGCAACAATTAAGAATATGGCTTGATATTAACTTTACCAATCATTGGATTACTGGGCACGATTGAAAATGTTTTTACATCATAAATGTCAAGGAGCATAATTTAAAACTTTTTAGGAAGAGTTATTCAGGAGAAAACATTGATTTTTACTACAGCAGCAGCAGCTCAATGAGTGATGATATATTACTATTATTTTCAGGCAAGAATCATAAAATAAAAAGTAATTGTACGAAAAACTAATGATAATGTTCAAAATTTAAAATGAAAGTAAGGGAGAATATGGCCTAGGGTTTTCAAGGGTTTGGCTGTAGTATGAAGTAAGACATGGAAGCCACCCTTTAACTTAAAATTTTATTTTTTAAATTCCAACTTTTTCACACTCATAATAGAACTTTACTATGATAACAACACAGCATAAAGTTTATGAATATCATACTCAATCAAGGTGTATCTATTATTACTAATTTTTATTTTACCTAGCAAGGAAGTTTTTCATAATTTTAATGTTCATAAGTTATTTTGACCATATCTTAATCTTGACTCTTAACCATTGACCTTTGACAGGTGAGGAAATATTTAAAATTGTTTTACTTTCTCTTCAGTTTTGCCAGCATCTTCAGAATAAATTAGAACATTTGAAGCCTTCTAAAATTTTTTTGGAAGGTCGTTACCATTTTAATTCATTTACCTCCTTTTCTAACAATTTGTTTTGGAAACTTGTTTTTTGTGTTTTATTTTATAATCTAGATAGTCATGGTACAGTAGTAGTTTACCCTGGTACAGTAGTAGTTTACCATTTTAAGTTTGAAGGGACCTGAATTTCTTTTGTCACAACTCAACAATGTTGAGAATTCATTCATGTTCATGGGCTTGAGTTTTTACATTTCGTTTATTACTTTTAGAAAGGAATTATCAACATTGTCAATTCTCTGAAAGAGCATTATCACAATCTTTCAGTTGACTGCTTTCTTGTGAGTGGAGTTTCTCCACACTTTCTCCATTAATAAAGTAAACAAATCTATGATACTCAATATTGTCAAGTCATTGGCATTAACAGCAGCATTACATCCTGAGGCATACTGTGCCTAGGCTTATGTTCCTGGCTTGAAAAAGCTGTACTGAGGATAAGGGGCCTAGCTTAGGAAAATAAAATAATTTTTAACATACTCTCTAAGTCTAAGTTAACTTTAACAAATTTATTTAAATAATTCTAATTCTGTAGCTTGGTTTTTAGTTTCCTTTATTTTTCAGACCTCTTAAAAGCCTACTCTTGTACAGGGCTACTCATGACTCACATATAAATAACAAATAATAAAAATATGTATAAATTAGGCTAAATTCTAGGCTAAATATTTACTATTATTTATAAGGCTTTAGGCTTAGTACTTTTATAAATATAAAACTAAAGTAAATAAACCGATGGCCAGCCCAATAAAATATGCCTTGGCACGATTCTAAAAAACCTAGACTTGCTACTATTTACTAGTACTAGTAAGCAATGGATGGCAATGGTGTCATGGTCTGAATGGATGGGTTCAAGACAATGAATGATGTCATGTCAATGTGATTGATAATGATTGAATTGATTGTGCAATGTGATGATCCTGAATGAAATCGCGTCAGTGGAATTTTCCATTCTAATAATATATCAGTGACTGATATCTTAACAATGAAAGAAGACAATAGCCCCAGGAAGTCATAGCTCCTATTGTACCACCAATAATGAACATGATAATAACATAGTTTTATGGGAATATCTTTAAAAGACATTTGTTGTTAACGTTACAAATTTGTTCTGGGTTGATTCATCAGCTGTAGTTCAAGGGAAACAACTAGCACATACAGGAAGTAGTGAGGTCAATAGTTCGTAAGGTAGGGACCGCGCCAAAACCGGAACAAACTGCTTGGTCTATTTTAGTAGTACTACGATCTGTCTTACATAGTGAGTATTAATTATCTCTTTTCAATCCAAAGCATCTCTTGTTGAATTCAAATAGTAGGTATGTAAACCGTCAAATAATTGTTGATCGAATCCATTAAATTACAATTTCATATATATTTTTTATAATTTTAAGGATGTTTGAGATATAAATTATAGCCAACTAATAGCGATATGCTACTAAGCAACAAAGGCACCATCAAAATTCAAACCTGGATCGTTATTCGTAATAGTTAGAAATGATTTCTGTCCTTTTAGTACTTAACTTACGATTGATATGCAAATATCGGTTGCCAATAATTCAAAATCTTTCAATATTGTAACAATAAATTGGCCCATTAGTCATTACTACGCGTAAGAAAGTAGAATTAATTGTCGGAAGTTCCTTGAACTAAGTGTTAAAAAAAAATGGTTGAGTAAATGTTAAAATTAAAGTAAGGGTAATTCTGACAATGACAGCTTGCGTTTCTTAGGATGTCGTTTTCTGTAGTTTTGTTATTAAAACATCAAACTATATGGATAGGCTCCTAATCATTCATTAACTTGGGATACGATACGTTTGTTGACGCCCGCCTTAATCTTTGTAGTTTCTAACAGCGCCCCCCCCCCTTTTTTTTTTAGGTGGGTTTGTAGTTACTAATAGTAGTAACTATTCAGCCTCTTGCCCTAATTCAGTAATTCAAGTAGGCCTAAACCTAATTGTGGGTTATTTATTAATGATAAACATCATTTGCCTTGGAGCTAGTGATTTATTATAATTTATAATATGAAATTACATCCCTCCTGCAAGTACATCATCTTTGCATTGATGAACAGTAAATTTGGAGAGATAGTACCGCAGCCGCCATCTTAGTTGCGGCGATCTGCAGATTTATGCCCTAAATGTATCCGTAAACCTAACCTGGACCCTAAACTTATCCCTAACCTGGGTTTTCACCCTATCGGAACTAGGGACAAGACACGCGAATGACGTCTGGGTACTATCTATCCAAATTAGCCTGATAAACATTTACTCAATAGAATTGGGCCTAGCCTACAGTTTTTTTTTTTTTTTTACTGTTTTCTCTCTAGGTCATGGCACAGATGGATGATATACCCACATTTAAGGTATTTAATGTGTGCCAATTTTTGTTGGCCCTTGCCTACTTTAAATTATGTTAAATACCTACATGCTGAATAAATAAGCACATAATTGCTTTTCTATTTCTGTGTTGGATTTATAAAGTCCACAACCCCAGGGAAAGTTTATACAAATATATCTAGGCTTTAACTTAAGGACTATATTTTGCCCACATTAATGCTCTATTTCTTTCACCTTGAGATCATCCTTTTTGATTTGCAATTTATAGCCACCCCTCTTTAACTTTACAGCTAGTGTTGGTTGGAGATGGTGGTGTTGGAAAGACTACATTTGTCAAGCGTCATAAGACTGGAGAATTTGAAAAGAAATATGTTGGTACGTAGATGGAGACCCTATTTCACTTTTTTTAAATGTCTAAACTTTTTGTAGATTTGCATGTTCCTAAGTTAATGAATTTTTTTTGCCTTTTGTTTGTACCAAGAGAGAGTTTTATTTGAATATTTGTTTTCCATTTTTATTCAGCAACCTTGGGAGTAGAAGTGCATCCACTAGTTTTTCACACAAGCAGGGGGCCTATTAAGTTCAATGTGTGGGACACGGCTGGTCAAGAAAAATTTGGAGGCCTGCGTGATGGTTATTACATTCAAGGTTAGTATCTTGGAAGCCTATTTTGAATTTTAGTCATTAAGGAAGTTTGGCCGGTGATGATTACATTGATCTGATACACTTGATGCGATTTTATGTCCCTCTAATCTGAGGCTCTTATATACATTGTTATTCTATTTTTTCCAGATTTTTATTGCTGTTTTACATTTTGTTAAAAACTTGTTTCACAGGTCAGTGTGCCATCATTATGTTTGATGTCACATCTCGGGTCACATATAAAAATGTTCCTAATTGGCACAGGGATTTAGTCAGAGTGTGTGAGAACATCCCCATCGTTTTATGTGGTAACAAGGTGGATATTAAAGACAGAAAGGTCAAAGCCAAGACAATTGTGTTTCACAGAAAAAAGAACCTACAGGTATACTTTTTAACAGTATTGATCTTTTTTAAATCTAAATGCAAAGAAGCTAAATTTATACAAATCACAAAAACGGGCGTAATTCTAATTAATTATTTTCACTAATTCTAAGAATGGTGTTAATAATTATGTAGTAGGGTATATCGCACTGTCAACCAGTGATCAGGAGTTATTTTTTTCCCTTAAGAGACTGAAGTACTTCTCGAAAAGATTGTGACTTGTGCTTTATTTAAAATCTGGGGTAACTATGTTTTGCGCTTTTTCTAGCAATGTATTTTTTTTTTTTAATGGGCAATACCATTATTAGGGATCTGATTTGAATTCGAACCAAAATAGTTTGATTTGCCTTCATTACAGTTGGTGAATTTCTGTTCACTTTCTTTCTTTGCGAAACGCGATATCTTTTGTTATTTAAAAAAAAAAAAAGAACTCACCATTTACTCAATTCTCTTGAGCCACTATTTAAATTTGGGTTTATTCTTGAAAGTCTATTGATTTAAAAAAAAACACACTTTTCAAGGATTAGAGCCAGTGATGATTACATTGTTCTGACACATTTGATGCTATATATGTCCCTCTAATCTGAGGCTTCTAAATAACTACTTTGATGTTCTGTGTTGCTCATTTGCAGCAATGACCCTTTTCTAATTTTCACTTCAAAGGAAGAATAAAAAGAAAATCATAAGCATCCCCCCCACCCCCCTTTTTTGTGTGTGTGTGTGAAGGGGGGGGGGGATTATCTGAACAACATTAAGAATTTATTTATCAAGGTATAATTGTAAACTAGCTACGTTTTGTACTTAGAACAAAATTGCCTGAACATTAAGGGGATCCACAGGTCACGAAATAATCAAAATTTGACAAAAAATATAGATTCTTGAAAACTTGGATTTTCTGTAGCTTATGATTTGGTAAAATTAAAATTATACAATTAAAACAAAATAGTTGTGATTTGAAGGGGTAGGGGTCTATGTTTTTGTTAACTTCAAATTAGCAGTTTTTAACACGTTTGCACGGAAACCCTCAGTTCAATTTTATCATATTTGGTATCGCTGGAAAGCTAAACATCACACGAAGAATGCCTTTCCGATGACTAATTTATCTAAAAATAACCATTCACATAAAAAAAAACGCTGTTTATCACGTGTAAACAAAGGTAGATTATTGGCTATTCATAGTTATAAACAATTCTTAGCATGTCTGCCTCTTTCCTTTGCGGAAGCATAGCCTTATGACATTTTCACTTCGATACGCATAAAAGAGAAAGCTTCTTTCGTGGATTCACACTGACAATTTGCTTTACTGTTTAAGGATTTGATTATTTCCAGTTGATTTCATCATTAACGGTAAGATAAATTTGTATATATTTTTATAATAGATTTTCGTATTATATTTTTGTTCATTGGTTATGTGGACTAAGCTTAGTGCGGTAGCGTCAGTAACCTTAGACTTATCACTTACACTGAGTAGACCTATGCCTATCTATTATATATACCTGGTTAATGTTTGATTTCTAATTAAGACACAAACTAAATCTACATAGAAGAAGAAACGAATAAAGTTAAACATTTTTCTACTTTTAATTATTATTATTATAATGATTTATATAACCTACACTTACACGTGAAACATTTGATATTGAAATATTTATACTACAAAATTATAGGCCTATTTTTATTTACTAATATTTAGTTCTTGTTGAACCTACTAAATTATTAAAAGTAGTGTATTAGTATAGTTGGTTATTTTCAATTACATGACTTCATTCATGCAACTTTTTGCCACATACGATTGCTTTGTTTATGATATTGTTTTCTTATATTAATTTTTATTTCTCTATTACTTCAGTGTCATGCCTCCAACTAAAGAATACACTGCCTCAAGATCTAAGCTGAAGAGAAAGCGGACAGACAGCTATGGCATGAGCAGCAAAGTTGCAGAAGCAAGAATTCTCAGCCAATGCTTTGTCCCCTGCCAGTTCAACAACCACTGCACCTGATATTCAGGATATCCAACCCGAATCTCTTGAACAGGAACAGTTATTATCTGCACCAAAGCGTAAACATGAGTTTTTGCTACCAACGACAGCCCCGTTGATTCATTTTTGCCCACAAATGTAGCAATTGAAACTTTGCAGACTTTATTTACAGGGCTGTAATGTGCTTCTTGCTGTTTTCAAACTCTTCACCTTAAGCAGGACGAGAAAAAAAACTGGACTGGCAGTATACTTGCAGGTATTTTGTTCAACCTGTGAAGAGGTAAAGGCAGAGAAATTTACCTCTCCAAAATCTGACAGGTCTATACTCTGAACAGACTGGCAGTGAATGCATCATTAGCAAATGGAATGGCTGTCAAAAAAAATTTCTGAACTAATGAATGTACCAGTCATGCATTCAAAAACCTATAGTCAGCACACAAAAGTAATTTTTGAACAGACAAATTCATTTTCAGCAAAGCTACTGGCTGAAAGTGCTCAAACTGTAAGAAAGGCTTATCCAGAGCAGGATAAAAAAAACTCAAATCATTTATATTGATGTATCATATGATGGTACGTGGCAGACAAGGGGCTACAAGTCAAAATATGGTGTAGGCTGCATCATAGAGAATAGAACTGGACTTGTGGTGGGCTTTCATGTGATGTCAAAATATTGCCATACATGCAGCAATATGGGAGGCAGATTGATGAAAATAAGTCAAGCTATGTTTGATGCTTGGTACCATAGGTCATCCTGCGACATCAACCATTATGGCTCAAGCAGGAGCATGGAGCAGCAGGCTGCTGTGAAAATGTGGGCTCGTTCATTGGAGAAGCTTCGCTTCAGGTATAGGAGTGTTGTTTCTAATGGCGATACTAACACTATAGCAGCCATCCATGAAATTGACTCATATGAGTGTCTCACTGGAAAAGCAAGAATGTGTCAACTATGTTGCGAAAAGATAGGGCACAGCTTTGAGGAATGTAGGGGAGGTTTTAAAAAAAGCAAAAAATCACTCTTGGTGGTAATGGGAGAGGGAAGCTTACTCAGTCTAAGATTGGTAAGCTTCAGATATGTTTCACTAAAGCCCTGTGCTCCAACTCCACTGTTCCTCAAATGGGAAGGCAATATGGGCCACATTTCATCACTCATTTCCACAGATGAGAAACTCATTCACGGTGGCTGTCCTACTGGTGCTGCTTCATGGTGCTTCTACCAGAGAGCTGCATCTAAAGGTCTTTCACTTGCTCTCAACTTACCTATGCCCTTTAGTTGCAGAGCACATCAAACCTGTATTTGAAAGGATGGCGCAGGATGAATTGTTGCAGCAGTGTGTTGAGGGCGAGACGCAGACAGTAATGAATGGATACATTTTGTGATTTGGGTCATTTCCCTTTGCACCTTTTTATTGGTAGACAGCGGCTGGAAATTTCAGTCTGTATTGGTGTTGGGGAGTTCAACAGGAGGTTGAAGGCCTCACAAGTTTTTTTAACCCTAATAAATGTGAAGGCAGGAGTTCAAACCCATCTACTTGGGGGGAAAAAAAGGACATTACACATATCTGTAAAGCCAAGAAGTCCTTAGAAAATAATGAAGCATTGAGGAGGGATATAAAATAAGCTGCAGAAAAAGAAATGGAGAGAGTTGAGTTAGAGGAAGGTGAGCCGCAGTAATTACCAAGAGAAGCTGATTTTTTATGTAACTATTTTTCTAAATTTTAAATGTATATATTGCAATTTTTGTTGATTATGTAGTATGATATTTTGATTTTCAGTTTAAGTCATAATAATAATATTGTTGAAATGTTTTGGTGCTCAAAGTAAGATATCTTTTTTACTTTTTTTTTTTTTTAGCAGGTTGGACGTTGCTTAGTGGTCTCTGAAAATTTCTTTTTCATTATTTTACATCACATTTTTGCTTATTCATTTGCCAATTGATTTTTATGTTGAATTAGATGGAGTTTATTTGCTAACATTATGAACAAATTTTTATTTTCTTCAAAATTACATTTTCTATTTTCCTCTAAATACATTTTTTAAAAGGATACTGAATGTTATTCTTCGCTTTTCTCAAAATCTACCTGTCCAATTGTTTTAAAATTGTTTATACTTGTTGGTTAAATATGATCCTGGAAAAAAATATTTTCACTGAAAGTCATATTTTTAAAGAAAAATTTGTACGGGCAAACAAAAACTAAACAGCACCAAAAGGACTCGAAATTAAAAGATCCATCTTTTTACCCAAAGTCTCAATGTTGTTACATGTAGTATTAGTAGGCTTATGGCTAGTTAAATTAAAAATTTGAGACCTGTAGCTGCTGTGGCTTTTATATAAAACACTTCCAATGATGCCCATGATTTACACCCACCACCCCCCAATCTTGCTCCACTGGAGTAAAGTAAAATTTTTGAAAATAATTAAATTTTTCCACCATATTTTGCCTATATGCATAATATAAAAACTTTAAACATGTTAAAATGTTAATAATTTAGAAAATGAAAATGTAGAAGCAATTTATGTGAAATCTTGAATTAGTTTCTAATGCTCTTTTTTACATTTTGTTATATTTATTTTGATATTTTTAAAACTGGGCGCTGTAACCAGATTCATGTTCTGTATTAAGATTGTATTAACTGTTGATCATTGATTTTTACAGTACTATGACATCAGTGCAAAAAGCAACTACAACTTTGAAAAGCCCTTCCTTTGGTTGGCTCGCAAGTTGGTAGGAGACCCCAATCTTGAATTTGTTGAAATGCCTGCTCTTATTCCACCTGAAGTACAAATGGATGCAGCTCTTGCTCGTAAATATGAGGATGAACTTAGGGTGAGTTATCAATTTTTTTTGCTTAGCTTCTAAGTAATTTGGAGGTTTTCTCTAGTCATGAAGTGTTTATGAGAAATATTTTGCTGCTCAATAAATTGTCATTCATGATTTTACACCTGTCCTCCCTCACTAGTTTTTAACCATAAGTTTTTAATGGTGACCATGTCTTAATTTCAGGTTGCACAAGAAACTGCTTTGCCTGATGATGAGGAAGACCTTTAAATTGCAGTTGACTGCTTTTTGTGTAGCATTTGCCCCACATTTTGGTACTTGGACAAATAGAAGTGTTGCTCGTATGAAGTCAATTTTAAAAAAATAAATACTTGATTGGAATTAGTTTTAGAAAAGTAAGCTTTTTCCATATACTTGTATACCTAGAATTTTCTTGAAATGTATATATATAAATATAAAAAGTTACCCTGTTTTTTGTGGAGAGTCTAAGGTTCTAAAACTAAAGGCTAATTTGTTTCACTTTAAATCTGTTACCGGTATCTAAAACGGGGCCTTGGCCATTGAGTGGTTTTGTGAAAATGTTTCAAATTATGTTTTTATAATTTATGATCCTTTTTGTCCAAGTACCTAATATTTTGTTTTTTAAAATCTTTAATTATATTAGCACTTTCTGATAAATGACATGACAGCATAGTGATATTGTTTGAACCTAAGTTGTTGCTAATTTTGTATCTATATCTCCATGGGCCTTATTCTCTCCACACAATAAGATAAGATTTAATCAGATTTGCCCCGCGTTTCAACGTATATTTTCTTCTTTTATATATATAAAAATGCTTCTTTTTATATACATAACAGATGGATACATTTGTGACTTTCCTATTAATTTAAACGAGTTTTTAGTTGTTAAAGAATATGTTATTGCTTTTGTGTTAGAGTTTATCATTGTTATGATGCCTAATTTACAATGTTAGCCACTAGAGCATTGCTTAGAGACTTGGTTAATATTCATTACAGCTTGGATTGATAAATATCACATTTAGTGTTCACACTTTTCTTATACAATGTATGAGGAAATGTCATGTAGAAAGAAAACGGTGTCCTGAGGTTCCCAAGTGATTTGTAAATCTATTAAAATTGATACCAGTTGCCATTGATACAGGATGCTGTTGAGGGGAGGGTGGGATATAACAGTCAAATTGGAACTCTGCTTGATGTTGTTTTGTCTTATTTGTACTGCCACATTGACCTGACAATAAAATTCAATTGAACTTTTCCCTTTTTTTTTCTCTATTTTTTTTATAGTACTAATAAAATAGTACTATATATTTTTTGTATGACCAAGTCATCTGATTTAATGTGAAATATGGCTCTATTGATTGAGGTGTCTGAGTAATTAGCCCTGGTTATTTGAGTGAACGGCCAAATGTAGTATCCTGTTCTTTTTGTATATTGATAAACTGGCAACACTGACAAATATTTATTGCTGAATGTACTATAGTTTTCATTGCCTGTATTTTCAAAGTCTTTTAATTTTAGATATAACAATTTCTGAGGTGTGTAACTTGAAATTTAAATATTGCTCAAGATTCTCTTATGTTCAGTTATACTTTACTAAAAATTTTGCATCATGTGTATGCTGAAATTTAAGTTATGCTAAAACAATATTTAGAAGTTCCTTAGGCTTATATAAAGTTAAAGTAAAGTCAGCTTTGTGCTTATTAATAGTAACTTATAATTTTATGTATATTTAAAATAAGCAAATCACAACCATCCAGCATAGAAACCATACTGTTTACTACATAAATTAGAATATGCTATAATATAAACGTATACCATATATTATATTATGGAGCCAGAATGATCAATGCATTGATCCTGGGCCCTGAAACAGACCTGTTTACTCTAAAAATCGTACAATATCATCACATAATCGTTCAATACATTAGCTTTATAGAAAAAAAATGTGCAGCATACATAATTTATACACCTCAAAATAGTACATTGTACGCCAAAATCGTAAGAGTAAACAGGTCTGCTGAAATATAGATCAACACAAGTTTGATCCTATTGGATTATAAATCAATCCAATACTACTAAATACTAGAGTTCTGTGCTAGCAGGATGACTTGGAATACAGAGGTACTTGTAAAGAATAATGAAGCAATACCTTAAGTACCCTAGTAATAATGGTTTAGAACCCAGATGTTACCTTATTTATTGATATTGTATTTGGTCTATATGAATGACCAATGGGAAGTCTCTCTCTATATATAATATATATCTATCTATATATAAACTACATTGCTTAAAATAGTCAAATGTTCAGACATTTCAACATTCAAACAACTCAAGCGTTTGAATACTATGATTTAGCAAAGTTGCACTTTGAATATTTTTTTCAATTGGGGAGAAGGCACAACTAAACTGATACCCAGTAGTGCAGAGTTAAGAATATCAAAATCTTTGCCCTTGATAAGTTTTACCCGTTGATTTTAAATGTATTTGGTCACAAACTTAAATAAAGTGAGCTCTCATTCTTAAGTCTTATGAGCATTAAATAAATTTGGGCATAGTTATGTTTATTATTGATAAAATTAGTAAGTGTAGCCTTTTTTTTTTTTGAAGACCATACAGAACAATAATTGAAAAAATTTGTAAATGGTGCGATTTTCCTTTTTGGGAACCAAGTCTAAATTATTGTAGTTAAGTGATGCATTCTTGTTAAGAGGTGATGTCTAACAAAATGCAAACAATATATTAATATTGATGATAGAAATTAATCAAGAGTACACAGGAAAGCTTTAACTTTAAGTTTTTCAGCAGAGTCTTATTCTCTGGGCTGTTTGGTTTGACCAAGTTGGCTTAAATTTTAAACACTATTTGATCGAAAATCGAAAGCTGGTTTGAGATATTTGAATAGATTGAATTAAAATGGTTTGAAATACTTGATTTAAACCACTCGAAGGCCATTTTTTCCTCCATCTAAGAGTAAGGCATAGATAATGGTGAGAATGCATTTATTTGATGAGAATAGAATAATAGTAATAGTTCTTAAGAGTGCTGTTAATACATCATTATAGTAGAAGTGCTGGACTGCCATATCCAGCCTGGTTCTTAATACATTTCCGAATTTTCACATTTATTTGATACGAGAAACTGTCATGATTATCAATATTTTATTCGTATTCATGTAGGTACACAATAATACAGTTAAATAAGCTGTTTAATTTAAAACAGAATGAAAGCTAGACATATTATTATGGTATTGAAGTACATTACTTAACAGTCTACTAACATTATGTATTCTTCCCTTCTATTTCTATTTTTTAAGTACACATCCGAACCAGTCAAATACCTGTACATTTAATTATATAATTATTTTTTTTGTAAAAAAAACATATATTGTTACAATATTTTAAAATTTTAACAAAACAATAAAAATACACAATATTTAATACTCTTAATGACATTTAAATAAGAAATCTCAATTAAGGGCTTATAAAATGGTTTCTTGTTGACATTAAAAACAATAAAATACAAATTTTTACAATCCAAAAAACTTTATACAAATGCATTATGCTGTTATAACCTTGAAGAATCCATTAAGTACATTAGATTAGTTACGGTTTAACATTTATTTTTAAATCAAGCTTCCTATATTAAACAAAGTTCAACATCTACTTATTCTCTAAGTATATTTCCAGCCCAGCTTCAATACAGTAGTCAGTATCAAGGTTAAATTACAAATGTCCATAACTTGCAATCACAATTTCAAGCAGTGGCTCTGCTTTTTTATTTTTGTCCACATTTTCTAAAAAAGGAATAATGATTTGTAATCAATCAAACTGTACCATACATTGCCAACTTAAAGTTAAAGAATAACATAAGGGCATCGATAAATGATATCATACATCTAGCAGGTAGAGGTCATAAAATTGATGATGACGGTGTCAATTTTATTGTGATGACGGGGAGGAGGGTTGTCGCAAATAGGCCAAAGTAACATGTTGTTTATGGATGGCCACATATTGGCTCTAAAACAATTGGTCACTTAAAGTAGAGTAAAACTGAGCTTACACTAGACACAGTTTTGGTCTATAAAAAAAACAAATCCTCTGTGCCAATTCAGAGATATTTATATTATCTTTCAATGTAAGACTAATTCAGAATCAGCTTTGAATTAAGCCATTTAGTGTTTAGGCTTCCGTACAGATTAAGTCACTAAAGAGGTAATCCTTACATCTCAACACCAAAACCTGACTTTCAATGAACCAGTGTTCATGAAGTTATTCAGCATTTCAACTTTCAGAAGCTCACTTTAATCATAACTTGCCAAGTCCATTAACCTGTGATGAACTTGTTTTGAGTTGCTCTTGCATTTTTGCTAGCATCTGTTGCATTCTTTGAATCTGATAAAGAACAAATCAAAGAAATTACAATTCATCATTTGGTTATGAATCAAATGTTTAATAAAAAGTCAACTCTAATTTTACATGGTTTTGAAAGTGTTGTATTACCGGGTACTTAAAAATAACTTCTGCATTCCAATTAAGAAAATGGCAGACTTACAGAGATAACAGCGTCAACTGCCTTAGAATATCCCCTTTCAAAAGGTGAACAGCTTAGTGGATTTAATATTTCAAAGAAAATTATTTTGTAAGGGGATATAATGTTCTCACCTCTGCATCTTTCTGTTCCAAAAGTTTCTCTGTATCAGATATTGCCTCAAAGTTTGGTGCAGAGTCTCTCTTCAGTTTGCTGAAAGTAAGTTAAGAAAATTATGAAAAATAATTTTTCTAAAATTCACTTGGCTTTCAAGTTTCATTCCAGTAAGACAAGTGATGAAGCTGACATTCTCCAAAGTTGAATCTTTTAAAGATGCTTTTTATCTATCTATGAAATAATTAAGGTGTTATTTTCTGTCAATAATTTCCCCAAAATATCTGAGTAAAACCTCTCACTGAATTCCAATACAGCTATACATATTCATCCCCCCCCCCACCACCCATTTTATTTTAAAATCTAAGTTGTCTTAATTTTTAGTCTATAACTATAACATAGTTTCTTTTCAAAAACTTCAAAAGCCATTGTTTAATATTCCAAGTATTATTTGCCATTAGTTTATCTAGTGTAGGCTAACAAAAAACGATATCAGTCTCACCTAATTCCCCATTGAAGTTCTAAAATCCTGCAAGTGCAAGCTGACCAGTTTCTGCTCTTGCAGTTAAAGTCAGTATGTGATCTAATGCTCTTGTGGTAAATCAACTTTGGTAGAGACAGTGTCGTTACTTAAAATGTACTAGTTTTATTATCAGAATATTTTCAGTGCTCACCCCCTCTCCTTCTGTGCTGATCCCATCTGTGTCCTTATGTGCATTGCCCTGTAGTTTTCATAGTGGACGTCTGAAGTAACATCTTTCAAGTCTTGCATGTGAGTACTGGAGCATTAAGATAATATTACCTTTTTTGTTTCATTTAATAACAATATCGATGATCCTATCCACATAATCTGGGTCATAAATTTACAAATATATATAGATGTACCCGTAACATAAATATATACTCATTATAATTACTAGAAAAGTAACTATTAAGTTGGTGGGCCACTCTAATGAACTTTTTTTTCAATGACAAAATATAAATAGTACCTTATGAGCATCTGCCGTAATCGTACAAAGTCACAGTGGCTTGGGTTGTCCACTTAAAGGATGAAGTATCAGAAACATTAAACATTTTCTTTACATATAGGAGAAAATTGAATAGCTAACAAGAATAAAGACAATAACACCATACTTCATAAATATTATTACTTATAACTTTTAATACTTTTATGTAGATTAAAATGGGAAAGTAATAAACTAGAAATAGAAAGGCAAGTTAGACATTACCCATGGAACTGTCATAAAAACTGTGTATAGTTCATTTTCCATTAATAAAACTTAAAAATCCATTGCATTTCTCATTACCATTTTTTAAAAAAAATATATCAATTGATATGATAAGAAATGTTATTTTATATCACTTGTCCTATGTGACAGTAACATACTTTTCATTGTAGTTGTAGTTTAGGCCTATAACAGGGTTAGTGTATGATCATTTTACCATTAAAATGTGGTCACTCCAAGCATAAGTCAACTAAAAACCTTATTAAATAAAATATATATTATAGGACATCATGCTTGAACAATTATTAAAATGATGAGATAAAATAAAAGACAAGTCTAACAAATACCTTCAACTATGCCCCATGGGTATGCTCTCCCCCTAATTTTCTTTCCACCTGCTTCAACAACTGTGTTACAGCCAACAACAGCAAAAGGAATTGAGGCCTGCATAACATTGTCAAACATCAACATAATTAACACCATGGGGTCTCTGTATGTTTGAAGTAGATGGGTTTATTGCTTGACAGATTTTCAGTTTCATTTAGGAGAAGTTACTGTTTACATAAACAAAATCACTCAATGTTAAGAGTATATTTTTAATTTAAAATTTACGTAGGGGGTAAAGTACCTACCCTAAACCTAAGCCAGTATTAA